GTAATAAAAACAATATCATAATGTTGTAAATTATAGTTTTTTATATAACTATTAACTATTATAAAACTAATACTGGATAAAGGATTAAAAAGGGATTTACGTACTAAATACATACAATTTATATTAAAAAAAACCTTTTTATACGAATACATTAGTTTCGATAATTGGGATCTGTATTTTATTTAAATTTGAGTATTTTTATACGACCAATACTACTATGGTATTGTCATTACTTATACTGTTTGCACCCTATATTATTCTTTTTATTTCAATAGCATTTAACTATTAGTCTTAAAAATTGTATTAATATGAGATGAGTAATAAAGGATTAATTTACAAATTAGACTCCTAATAAAAAATATATACTTTTAGGTCAAGTAAAATTCAGAAATGGGTGAATAGTTTCAATGTATTGTATTTTTAAATTTAAATTTTATTTTTTTTATTTATTTTGCTCTCAAAAAAATGATTCTAAGTGTAAAAAGTCATATGGATCAGCTTTTATTTTTTAATATGATAGATAAAGTAGTAGAACCAAAGTTCTTTATACGGTACGTTGAACTCTGAATGTTCTACATTTTGCAAAATAAAAATAAAAGGATCTAATATTTGGGAAATTTAGAAATTTTAACACCTATAAATATCACAAACCTAATTAAAATAAATCAAAACTATGAAACATCTTTCAGTAAATTGCTTATTAGAAATTCGTTGTGATCTTTGAATTTTTACACTTAATTTTGTAATGCTTATAAATTATTTTAGGAACTTTCCAGTAATTGTTTCTTATTGGTTACAAATAAAATCATACAACAACTTTATATCCAATTTTGAATCTTTAAGTATGAAAATTAAAAATTGTATGAATTTTTCATAATAAAAATGTAAAAATTTTTGGAATCTTTATCGTTTTGGCAAAATTTATTATTCAAACGATAATAAAAGTTTACTGTGAAATTATACTCAATTTTTTTAAAATTAATTAGTTAAAAATATGTAAGAAAAACATGCTCTTAAATTTTTTGTCTAATCAAAATTATTTTATCTCGATATTTAAAAAAAAATGTTAAAAATTTCAATTTTCAATGATTAACAGAAATAATCATCTGAAAATTATACTATCTTTAGAAAACGGTAATATAAACATAGAGTAAAATTGCAAGTCCCTTCATTAATTAACTCTTAACTTACAATGAAAACAAAATATTGATTTTGTCTGAAACAGTAAGTCATAAATGCTGTCGTATTTTTTATAAATATTCCTCAGTTTTTCGTAATTATTAAGAAAAAATGTTGAAAAAATTATTAAAATTACTGCACTTCAATATCAACTAGAACTCAATTCCAATATTTTAATTTGATGATAATGGAATCACTCTTTCTAGTCGAAATGATGTACACAGATGCATCACAAAAAAAGAAAACGCTCATAGTAAAACTAATACATTCCTTGTTTCGTCATAATCATAACAAATAAATTCAGTATACTGATAAAAATAAAATCAATAAAATTGTATGTTGTTTTGATTAAATTCTTGCATTTTATGTTAACTTTTTCCAACACTAACTTTTAATACACTCATTTGTAAGATATCATAATATAAGTTACAGCGATATCAAACAATTTATTTGAAATAAAACACATTGGTTTTTTAATGAGAAAGCAATGTAATTAAAAGAAAAATTGTAGACAAAAATTAAATTTTACCAAATTATAATCTAAACATATAAAGCAAATCAAAGTATTGTGTTTAAAACATCACAATTAGACCATTTTTCATAGATATCTACATTTTTTATAAATATTATATTGTCTTGATCGATAAAAATATAATTTTGTATGCAAATAACTTTTGTTTAACAAACTCTAATACCATTTCAATTATTATTATTACCGAATGTTTATTTAAGTTCATGTGTAAGTGTAATACGTTTTATTTCTAGATTTTCTTTTTCACGTGGTGAGTTGTGTTGCGTGTCAATAAAAATTCTCGGCCAAGAAAATAATCCTGAACGGGGTTTTTATAACATTATATAACAGCTATTGATGGCACTAATAAAAATAAGTTTTAAAATTATTACTCTTAACTTATTCAATTAAGCTAATTACTGGAATTATTCTTTATACATATACCTAATTTTTTTCGTTTTGAATTATTTATTGTTCAAATAATAATTGTTTCAACATTTTTCATCTAAACTTATATTTGTAATATTAAATTATCGCTAACTACTACTATGACTTTCTAAAACATTGACCGATAACAATATAACCTAAAAGAGGTACAAAACTTACATTTTCTTAACCACTTTTAAATTTGTTTATTATCTATTAATTTATATTTAATTATATTAACTTAAAGTAAAACTAGTAAATAAAAGATAGATGTTGAAAATTCAGATTCACTGATATCTAGATAATTGTATATCTGTTCTACAAATATAATAATTTTAACAATTAAAATTTGTTTTATTTCTATATTTCTCTATTGAAAAGTTTTTAATCAACCATCGTCCAATCAATAATCTTCAAATCATTGATAAATAGTTGAATATATTTTTTTTTTTTTTGTGACTTAATAATTATGGGAGTTATCCGTTTCCGCCAAAATATTATTGACCGTTTGCGCCATAACACTTTTTCGCCAAAAACAAAAAAGGTACGATTTCCGTTTTCGCCAAAAAAAGTTTGGAAACTGTTGGTTTTAATTTTTAAGCAATATTGAATATATGTTATGGTATGTATAAAATACATTTGTAATGTATATGTTACGCCGAATTTATGAAATTGCCGATTTCATAAAATCAGCAACGTTGTCGCCAAATACATTTAATCGGCAATTTGGCTACCATATTCACGAAATTGGCAAATTTTGATTGCTGATTTCGTGAATTAGGCAGTCTTTTTCTACCGATTACATGAATTCAGTAACACATTATTATGATATAATTACAAATAGTGTCTTATGGCAGTAATTGACAATTTCCTCCTTCCTTTAAAAATTGGTGCTGGTGTCAATCCCGTCTGTGGATCGAGGGTGAGGTGATGCAGCCAACCTTCTTATCATAGAATAAAAATATGGTAAATTTAATATAGGGTCTAAAGAAGGAATTTTAAGCACATGTCTGGAGCGGAACAGTTTGGCAGCTACAAATAATTACTGTTCCCTGACGACTGCAGGCTAACCAAATGAATATTCATTACGGGAACTTGTTAGATTAGGGTCATTTGGATTGAACAAGGCTATTGATTGTCTATATATTAACGTTGTACTTGTCGTACGAATTGCACACCTAAAAAGTGCACATATAAAAAAAATAATATGATGAGTAATTCGACGTGTCACCCAGGCCATATTTGCCAAAATATTTAAATATAATATAATTTTTTTTTATTTACTTTTTTACACATTAAAATGTATTTATTATTTTATTATATTTCCGGTGTTTTACATATTTATTTAAATACATATAATATTCATTATTACAATTTGATTTTATTATATTTCCAGCATTTTATACATTTATTTAAATTAAATTATGCTTTATAATTTTTTAACAAGGGTCTTGCCGATTTCACGTATTCAGCGAAAACGTTGCTGATTTCATGAAATTGGCAATTTCATAAATTTGGCGTAACATATACACTGATAATCTTCGATGATTGTCGATAAACGTCGATAATAACGTTTAATAATAAGAGTACAATGTTGGATACACTGTATCATAGTTTATAATATATCTTAGATATTATCTAAGATTATATCTTAGAAAACTATATTGATGGAAATTCGAAATTTTCGCCAAGGAAATGTGGGCTTCACGTACAGCGACGTTATACAGAACAACCAACAACTGTCAATCTTTTCATTCTCATTTCAATAAAACATTTTATAAGACACACCCATATATTTTTTTATTTTTACAAATACTTAAAGATACGATACAAACAGATAATTTTATCAAAATTAACAGTGCTCAAATAATATAAAAAAATTCCAATGAAATTAATAAGTACTCTTTTGTAATTCAGATTTTTTGTGACATTTTAAAATATTTAAAAATTATGATGTGTTTTATCAAAACACTATCGGGATAATATTTGACCTATACTTGTTTTATATTATATAAATAGTTAAATATAATGGACATATTATAATATGAAATTATGTACCAAAATATTTTAAAATCTCTAATATAATTGTGCCTATATTCGACTATTATATTATTATTATCTACTTGTATTAAAATTTATAATGAACCAATATATAACAATTATACATGGTTCCCAAAAGTCTTTTCATACAAATAAATTTTGGTGGAAACAGGAATTATACCTTTTTCGTTTCTGGCGAAATAGAACTATACGTAAATTAAGGAACCGGATTTTTGGCGGAAACGGGACATGCCCATAATTGTACATGAATAACAATCACTACTAAAAATACATACAATTTATCGTAATCACAAAATATTACATAAATACATTGTCGACTTGAATTAATGTTATATAGATTTGTAACAAAATATTTGAGTAAAATAACAATAATTAATTAAATTTTATTTATAACTTAAATATAAATAAATAAAAATTAATAATAAGAATAAAAAGAAATACATAAGAACCAATTCGACAAATATAAGTATTAAATATGTGTAAAATAACAAAAATCAAAAATACTTCAAAATCAATAACAAAAATATACTTTCACAATATATGATATTATAGATATTTAATGACAAAATATTAATTATTTATATATATTTATTTATAAATTATTTAAGTAAACAATATCATTTTTTATTTCCATAAATAAAATCATGATTGAAAATGATTAAAAAAACTGACATGAACGTCAAATTATAATCAATCAGTGTGTAGAAGTCAGTATATATATATATATATATATATGGGCACCCCTAACCTAACCTATACAACCAAGCAACATTTTAGTATAAAATGGGATACAAATGCTGGTGAAACTCTTTGGTCGCCTCAGTTGACGTACAGCAGCCGTAGGTAAACTTGCCTCTTTGAACGTGTATGAGCAACAGGTGAGGGAAGAACGTCGAATAAGATCACAAAATGCACAAGTCATTTGTTAAAATATATGTTTTCATGTTGATAATATGGGCTGTAGAAAAGTCTGATTGCAAACAAGGAGGTAAACGTGTTTATTTACTCATTATTGATATTTTTAATATATATTAAGAGATAGAAATAATTTGTCATTGAATAAAAATTAAACCGACGTTAGTAAATGTAAAACGAATTATTGTAAAACCTACAGCTTATTATCTATTCTTAAAATATTCTAAATTATTTTATGAACATCAATACCCTTGAAGTTCATTACATTTGTAAGTATACAATAAATTAAATATTAATATAAGTGTCGAAAAAAGTATTAAGTTACGTAAAGAATGTAATTATCTATCAAATAATATTTAGTAAAGAAACATAATACTTTAAAGAATAACTTTGTTTATAAAATACATCAGTTCATCTACATTTATAAAATAATGAATAAATGATTATTTTATTTGAATAAAAATTATGTATTTTTTTTTTTTTTTTATTTTATGGTATAAAATATAAGACCTATTTCTTCTATAAATTTTAATTTATATATATATATTTTTTTTTATCAAATTGAAGTATAAATATAACATTAAAACCAGAATACTGAATATTTTAAGAAGTATCATTTTTATATAGAAAAGTAATAACAACATTTTATTTCATTTATTTATTAGGTACTTAAAATATTAATTTCTTACATTTTGCACATAATTGGTATTCCATTTGTAATAATATCTAATATTTATAAATAAATACATAATAATTTTAAGTATTAATATACAAAAAATTAACGATTCACAGAATTGTTTTTGTTATTTTACAATTTTAAAATCAAATATATGTTTATTTATACATATTAAATAGAATATTTATTATCAATTGTAACAATCAATTAAAATAATTTAAAATAACCATTGAACAGATATTTTTATTTTAGAAATGCTGTATTAGGGAATTCACGCTTTTTCAAGTCTGTTTTTCATTATTTGAAAAAAACTTCAGTAAAATACTTTACAGTTTATAAAAACAAAACACAAGTACTTACCGAATAACATTACCTGTATAACTATAATGTTGAGTAAACAAATTTTAACGCTTGTCTGAATTTTTGATTTATGCACATATTATACAAAGACATTTATGCATGATTGATTAACGACAACCCATTAAAACGTCAGTGATCCGCAATAAAAAAATAAAAAACATCAATGATGTTTCCCAAAAATAGAAAATATAATTTTTTATTTAAATGAATTATAATATTGCTTCTAGCGTATATTATTTATTTTTTTTTTTTTACATTAAAATAATTATTCAAATTTTATAAATTTTTAAGTGTGTTAAATATTTAGACAGTTAGTAAATAAAGAAAATAATGATGTTGATGGATTAAAAATTTATTTTTATCCTAAGTATTACATTGATGAGCCACAATACTATCCTACTTAAAGCCATCAATTGACTTAAGATCTTGTGTCAAACATGCTATAAGGCACTATATTTTTAATGGCTAATAAAATAATATTTTAAATTATTACACAAATCTTACACTAAAAATATTTTGAAATAATTCGTATTGTTAATATTTAATTAACAAAATAATATAAACATAAATTATAAATTGTATTAATCGTACTTCAAATTATTACTGTTTAATTTTTTATTTAGACTTTATGGGATAAATATATTTTCAATAATTTAATTTTTTTTATTAATTCATTTAATTTATAAATTAGTAATAAGGTATAATAAATATATTAGTTTTTAATATCATTCGACATTAAAATTAAAACGTTATAAAAATATAGCTAAGGTTTAAAAAAAAAATTATGAAAATGTATTTATTAGCAATTAATATTAAACCTATTTATTATATAATACCAATACATTTGCCTAATAAAAAAAAATTAAACTTTTAGTGGCTCTAAATTTAATTAAAAATATCTATTCATTTTAACACTATATTATCTGACTTTTATAAATAACATTGGTCAGTCAGTACCTAATAATTTATTTTTTATCGAAATATAATATTTTAAATAAATATCAAATGCTATTGTATGATTTCAAATAAAGTAATAAATACATTCATACCTTTATTTTTATACATTTATATTTAATTCTGTATACAATTATTACTGGTGTTCAATAACTATTTCTCATTATTTAAAATAATATTAAATTATCAAACATCTAATTAGTTACTTTAAAACTACGCAAAATATTCGTGGGATCAACAAAAAATTTAACTTGCGTGTTGTTTTTGATCTCGAGTTTACCTATTGAAATGAAAAAAGCTAACAGATGATAGGTATTATATATCTACGTAATACACCAAAATAAGCCATTTTATTATTCCATTGTGTGTAATTTTTTTATGAAATGGTAAAAGTTATAAGTTTAAACTATTTTATTTTCAAAATAAATACAAGTATTTTAATCATTTCAGCATAATGAGACGATTTTTTTTTTTAAAAAGTTTAAATCCACACATACCAAAACATTCCAAAAATAACAAGTTATTATATTCGTCAAAAATATATATGACTGTTCTAAAACACCAATACAATTTCTATAGCCCATGCAATATTAAGTTAGAAATAAGTTTTAAGAATTTAAGTAAACATATGTATTGGATTTAAATTGTAACAACCAATACATGATTATGAAATAAATATATACATTTTTTAACATGCTGTAGAGAAAACAAAGTAGGTGAACAGGATAAAAAGAAAATTCAATAAAATTAATTAATATTGTATTTATACAATACATGCAATATATAAAATAATATTTGCGAGAACGTTTACATAGAATTTCAAAAACAAAAAATGTCAAGCTTCAATACACGAATGTGGACATTACAATGATTTACATTATACCCACTACAAAAGATTGGTATCAAAGCAATGTCTTAAGAATTCTCTGATTCCACGTCAAGAAATATGTTCTGAAATAAACTCCAGAACTAAATGATTGCAGCATAAATGAACATCGAAATCTAAGACACAACAATTTAAATAAAATAAGTTTTTTTTATTTTTGAGCGTTTATTTGTAAACACATTAGAGCCGTATATAATATGGTTTAAATTAGATCACTAAATCTTTTCCACCACGATAAAATTTAAACGAATATTTTTTTTATTTTATTTTTTTAATTTTGTATGAACAGTTTCTAAACCAATTAGGAATTCATTAAAAACCATATATTTCCACACTAATGAAACCTTGTTACATATAATAATAATCACGTAATACATTATAAATCCATATAAAATAGTGTCCACTGTAAATTTTATTCTTTGTACATGTATTATTTTTAGATTCTGTGGAATAGATTGGTTTAGCTATTTTATTTTTTTTTCTCTCTCAATGATTTCGATAAAAAAGGGGAAAGAATTCTGATTATTGATATCACTATAATAATATGGATTTTTATATTCAAAATCATTTTAATATTTGAAGAGAAATAAATAATAATATTTGAGAATTAAATATAAGATTTTTTAAAAGTTTGTATCTGTAGAAAATAAAAAAATTCTTGAATCAAAATACTTGAAATACGATACTTCAGTTCGAAGATTTAAATGAACTTATATGTAAAATATATTATAAATACAATTATCTTGTATATCACAAAAAATATTAATTAAAATAAACAAATTACTAAAAATTATTAAATACTTCAAACAACATCCATAAAAATAAAAAAAACCTTTTTTAGTCAAATAGAATACCAAACTGATATCAGTTATATTATAAAATAATGAAATTGAGTGTAAAAATATTAATATTACAAAAAATCCGCTAAGAACCTATTTTTGAGTAAATTTTTTGTTGTGTAGAATATTTACATTTTTATGAACTTATAGTAAAAATATATTATTACATACGAAAAAAAAACAAAGGCGAAGTGTAATAAATATACCAAATATACCTACTCGTATACTCAAGCTATTTTTAAGAAAAATTAGCTGTGTAATTTCATGGCTATTGTTTTATTTGTTATGGTATACTTCAAATTTTCAAACTAACACAAAAAAAAAATAACCAAAATATTTTGATCTTTTAACTCTAAATCTTACAACATAATTTTATAATAATAATTTTAGACACTTACTGGATGAAAATTATTATTATTTAGACATGTATTTTCAGTTTGGTTTTTTTTTTTTTTTTTTTTTGGGACCAATGAAAACATCTAAAAACGACCCACCTTAGTACTATCTGGGCTCATTTCGCTATCTAATGAGATAGAATATGTACATAAATAATATGAATTATAAATTTACTAACCGAAAAAATTTTTACAAAAATAATATAATACTGAAACCAATAAATTCCTCGCTTATACAGTTTTTAGATTCTAGGGCGAATCTAAAAACTGTATAAGCGTTTTTTAAACGCTCTTACATTGTGATCTTTTGGGACTTAAACATAATTAAAACATACTATTCCCTGTGAGGAAAAACAGGTTACAGCATTAAATTTTAATTATCTTCCAAACTTCACATTTAAAAATTGTCAAAGGTTTTTTACTAGAAAAATAAAGCTAAATCACATATAAGTAACACTTTTCCATTTCATACGTGCTAGGTGTAATAATATGCATATAATATTATATTATTGTATCGATTATAATAGATTTATTTTTTAATACATCAACATAAATTAAAAACCTCATTAATACAGGATTCAAAATCCACAAAACACCAATTTTTATTATTTAGCTTTAATGAAAAATAACTATTTAGGGATAAAAACTAAATAGAAATAACCAGGTATTATTGTAGTATTTGATATTTGTCTACAAACTATAATTCTATAATATGCAATCATTTACTTATATACAAATTATGATTTTCATATAAATGTTAAATTTTAAAAATTTTACATCAAATAAAATCATAAATTTAACTAAACAACTAGAAAAATAATTATGTCGAAGAAAACACTTTGTATATCCTTACTATATTATTAATTAATAGAATAATTATAATTAATTATAATAATAAATATTTTGAAAAATGTATCTTGGATCAAACTGTATCTACCTATATACTCTAATATATTATTGCTTATTAAGATTATCAAACAAATTTTAATTGTTTCTTTCGCGTGTTAGTCTTATATTTTTTGTTCTATGTATACTAAAAATATAACTTCATAATTCAACAATTACTTTCGCTTTTATATTTTAGTATATTTCAATTTTCAAAGAAATCATTTTATTTTTTTTTTTTCACTATTACATATTTTCAAAATACGACAGTATTAATAACTATGTAACTTAAAGCTATAAATTAAAATGTTGGTGTACAGGTTATCAGGGCCAGCTAATGAATGCTGAAGATTTCAATTTTTATAATGGAGGTAAGAATAAAACAATAAAAATGTAAGAAGCATTTTTTAATATATAAACATGTTTTCTGATATCATTCATATTAATGACTGAAAAAGAATTTTAAAATAAATCAGAAATTAAACAACTAAATAACATTTAACTATTTTAATAATCACCAATTATTTATTTTTATGTTGAAATCAGTATTAATTTTTTTACTCCTATGAAAATAACATTTAACATAATAATAGTATTTTACTATCAATAATGAACATATATTCCCACGAACGCGGTGTAACAAACATTAAAAATAAAAACACCTTAATCTTAAGTATTATCATAATATGGAACCAACTTTATTTTGCTCGGAATAAGTGATAGTTCAAATATTTACACAAGAGCATTGGTAAAGTTTGTTTTATCTGTAATAATAAGGTGTAGATAATTTTACAGAAAATACTAAAATTAATAATTTAAAATAGAAAATCATCAAAAATATTATAGGAGGATTACATATCTAATAAAACAAATAAAATAAAATGTTAAAATATTAAAAATGCATTATGTTTACTTTAATATTGTATTTATAATACAATATGTTTACACCGATAATTTTGAAAATGATAATATTTAAATAAATTAATAAATAATATTTTATTATATCTTATGATGAATTTTTAATTTGAAACCAGTCGTACTTTACAAATATAATAATAATCCAGGCTAAACATTTATTTATTAATTTATTTGTATGTATACATTATTTGTTTATTTATTCGTGTATAAATGTATGAGTGTTAATTATTTGTTAACTTTTAATTTGTATTTTATTTTCTATTATTTTATTATTAAAGAATAATAATGTCAAAGATATAACGTTATTTCCAGAATACTCTATTTAATAAATGGATTCTGAAAATGTGATAAACAATTTCCTAATGCAACAATAAAATATCAAATATATATTTTAAAAACATTTTATATTTTTATATTAAATTAACATAGTGGAAATGTATTTTAATCAATTATATTATATAAATATAAATATCATACAGATATTTTTTTTTCATAATTTTTAATGAAATAAGATACTTTGTTTGACATTCTGTTATATTTTTAATAATAAAACAGTTAAACCATAATACCAAACTAATAGTTTTTATGACAACATAATATAGATAGTCCAAATCGTTAAGGTAGGCTAAGTTTAGAAAACCATTTATAAAATAATACAAAATTTAATTTAATATATGTATAACGTATCTTATTATAGATATAGTAATTTAAAATTCAAACGTTAAATATTTATATAATATACTTTATAAAAATGCATTCACTTGGTGCAAATATGATGTCATAATTTCATAGTTAACTACCTAGGCAACTTCTAAAATTTTCAACGAGATATAATCAAATACTAGGTACTTTTTTTTTAGTAAACTTAATTATTTATTAATATTAATAATTATGAATGTTTCCTTTCCATTTAATTGTTTCCATGCATGACATATTAATTTTAAAATTATATATTTGACTATTAAATATATACAAAAGTAATGAAAAAATACATTTTTATTTTTTTTCATTTTTATTAATATCTCATCATATATTTTACCTTTATTTAAAACATAGCATTTCAAACTTATTTTGTTTGAAAAGTAACTCCATTTATTTTCTTTGGAATGAAATAAATGTTTTAGTTTCGTTTTTACAAATCAACTTTAAATTTCATGTCAGTGATTTACAACTAACAATTTTCTATTTGATTTTAAAAACAATTTTTAATAGTTTATTTTACATATTCTATTTACGTATATATATGAAAATAGCAAAGCTGGAATTATATGATCTTCTCGACAAAAAAAAAAAAAAAGTCCAAAACTACAACAATACCTTGAAATTGCTTGATTGATTTTTTGTTGATAATTTTATGCAAATTTTATTTATTTTAATTTAATTTCCGAAGTTTAAAATATAAATATTTATATATGATTTTATATTTATCACATAAAGTATTTATGTTCTAGTAACATTTAAATATTTTCGTATAGCTTTTGAAAAATATAATTTAAATTCTAACATGAAAAAATAACAAATATTAGCAATTTACCCAATAATTTATATTATATCTAAAATAAAAAAAAAAGTTTAATGAAAAATAGTTAATGTATTATACGCTTTCCAAAATTAAAATAGAAAAGTGCATCTGAAAACAATATAACTTAAAATAATAAACATCAGGATGTATGTAAATGTCTTTAAATTTGAATATATTTTAATAATATACTGTACTGAGCAATATATATTGACATTTTGGGTAAGCACTTAAATTTTAGATCCTATCAATTTCTTTCTACCGTTATTTAATATATCCTTAAAAGTATGTCATCAGTCTTCTATAATATCAGATATTATTACTTCAGACAATTGCTGAGAAAAACAAATTGGCAATTATATGTATATTAATATGAATAAAAAAAAAATATGTCAGTTAAGATATTTTCATGTGTAGGTAAAATATAAGAAAAACTTTGTCCTCAGTAATTTTGAAAGTGAAAACGTAAATAATAATGTATTAACGTTTTTTTAAAAACTAACAAATAAATAAAGGTTTTTGTTTACAATGATCCGATTTAAAATGAATTTTTCTTTCTTATGATAGCAACGTTTGATGTAAAACACATTATTTTTTAGTTACTGGACATTATTAATAGCTTAAATAATAAATCTAAATTCCATCAATATTCCTAATAAAAATCAATAGAGTATTAAACTGTTTACACTTTTTACGTCATAGAAAGAAGTAATTTCAAACTTCTACTTTATTACTGAATACATTGAGATATATATCAGCTACATTTTTAATAAATATATTTAAAAAATAAATAACTATTATTGTCTGTTAAACAAAAGTATACAGGTATTTAACGATGAAAAATTATCTCAGCAACATATATCTAACTGCTTTTTTTACGATGAATAAACAATTTACTTGTAAATTTATTGTTTCAAAATTAAATATATTATAAGTTTTCATAATTGTTTAAAAACTTTTAAGCATTTATTTGATAAATTATGACTCATTTTAAATCGAATTATAAGTCTCATATCGTAACTTCTAATCGAACTTAACTTTTTTTCTTCTACAATGTACTACATATAATACTGTTATAACATTTAAAATTAAATTATTGATGATAACGGTACAACATTCTTTTCTTTAAAAATTACTTAAATTATTAACTATAAATAAAGAACAAATATTTAAAATAGTTATTTATGTTTTACGGTTAATTCAATGGTATACTTATTTCGTATTAGATTGTAAATGTATACAAATCAATAATATTTTTATAAAACTCAATTTTTAAATAAATGCTAATTAAAGCAATTACTATCGTAAAGATTAGAAACGATTTGTCTTAAAAAAAGTTCATTGCGTTATTAATATATGTTTTAAATATGTTGCAGCAGCATGCTTAAGTTATGGTCATTCATGCTGGGGAGGTAAATTATTAAATATAATTAATTATTAAAATGAAAAAAATTCGAACATTTGTACGTTTTACACAGCTCATGGCAAACGCAATGCAGATGTGCTAAACAATCCAAATTCCTGGTTCTTATATCGTATGCAAAAATTGGCTCATAAAGACTCGTCTATAGATCAAAATCAATCACAGGAAGAAGACATAGCAAAGACCATGAACGTTTTTAAAAGATATATGCAACGAAATTTAAAGAAAACAATTAGGTAGCAATGATATTCACAACGTTTTTTTCACAACGATACTAAAATCAACTTATTTATTACAGCGATGACACCTGGAACATTCAACCGAGAAAATATATACCTGATGATAGATACTACGAAGATCAAGTATTAGATCCTAGACTGGAATATAAACTTATGGTAATAAAATATGGTTAAATATGATATAAATAATGGTTATAAAATGCAATTTCACTACAAAAATATTTATTTTAAACAATAGTTTTCAACCGGAGAGTCATATGCAGGGCCGACGCTAGAAGTATTGGTGCCTTGGACAAAACCATGTTTTGGCACCCTTGAATCCTCCTCCAACCCACTTAGTTTGAGTAGTAGTAAAATAAAATGTTTTGTGAATTTAAATAAAATTAGTACATATTTAGTATAATAACTTATAGTATATCAACCCATTTTTTGAACAGGTTATTGTTTTTTTCGTTGCAAGAATATAATAGTTCTAATTTTGAGCGTGGCGCTTTTTTACTTTTTGAAAGTTTTCTGGGGAATTTATTATTTCACGCTGCCACTGCCTACAATATAGGAATACTGTGCTTCACTAACAACTCATTTATTAAGACAACCAAAGGACGAAACTCATTGTAAATAACTAATAAGAAACCAAAATATTATGTAGAAATTAACTAAACAAAAAATATGAATATTGATTAGGTACCTGTTAACTGTAACTTGTTAGTTTAGACATTTGACATTACACAGTAGATCGTACGTAATGAGAGCTCGTCAAAAACAATAAATTGTGCGTGTGTTTCGGGCAACGATGTCTTTTTGATTTACGCCACACACCGCGGTATTTTCGCCGTAAGGTCCAAATTCGTTTTTAACGTAATCTTCTAGTTATATGAATTTATTTGTAAACGGGTAGATATTTTATGAAAATAAATATTACTACCATCTATTTATTTGCACTGACAAATGTGGTAGTATGTTTCCATGCATTATGTTTACATAAAAACCAGCGCTTTATAGAGTAGTACCTATATGAAGTAAAGAGCACAACTGTTATATTCTTACTTCCTGTAGATCGTATTAAAAGATAAATTAGATAAAAACAATTTTCAGTTTGGCGCCCCTTTCGTGCTGGCTCCCCGGGCAATCACCCATAGCTTTCGCCGGCCCTGGTCATATGTGACTGATAGTTAACGGTTACATAAAAATAATTAAATAATTTGCTAACTGTTGTTTTAACAATTATATATATATATACATTTAAGTATGAAATTTAATATTTTTACTGTAATTTTTGAGAACGTTAGGTTTACAGGAAAAAAAGATGTTCGTGATTAGTAAAAGGTTGAAAACCACTGGCCTAGACAAATTTGAAAACAAATTAATACAAAAAAAATTAACAAGTATATTTTTTGTTTTTATTACAGAATGTGAAGTAAAAATGAAGTACTACGACTAATTTTATAACGTTATAGTTAACATTTGGAGAAGTCAGAAATAATAACACTAAAAATATGTTACAAATATATCTTGTTTATGTCAAATTAATATAACAATTTAAACTGCATATTTAATTTAAATACACAATTTACACTAATTACATTTACGCATATAAAATTGTTTCCTTATTAGCCACAAAAATTATTTACCAATTATTTTTCTTTGTATTCTATTACATTTTTATGTTATTTGTTTTTAGTTCCATAAACTATGTAACAAATGTTCACAATATACTTATAAATAATGCGCTTGCATTTATTGCCTATTATAATTTGTAAACAAATAAATATTTTATCCATAAGACAACAATATTATATTTTAAAAATTCTTTAAATTTCAAATAAACACTATCATATAACATTTAATTTTATTAATTTATTTAAAGTACAATTTTTTATATTGATTTTATTAAAAATTATTAAATGCTACCCCTATATTTACTTAAACATTATTTTATTTAGCTTGACATCAAGTTTAATAAAAGTAATAAATTTAATGTTTTAAGTAAATAACACCTTTCATAATTAACAGCATTTATGGCCAATATTATTAATTAAATATTTACATGCCTATATCGTATTTAGTTTGATGTAAAATTTTGATCTCTGAGGGGAGTCTAAAATGTTAAAACATAAATCAAGTTTTCATTTTCACTTCTTAATAATATCGAAAGATTACATGTGCAATATTATTATCAACAAATACATGATACCATATAAATTTTATTGTAATATATTACAAATTAAACTGGCTAATAATTTTTAAGATATTTATATTTTTATGACGAGTACATATTAAATTTTAATAAATACAAGCTAATCAACAAAACAGATTCTAGTTGAACTATCTTATGTATACATTTATAATTTCAATTTCTAAATAATAAAATACAAGTGTAAATAAAATGTTACTCGTTCAAAATAATAAATACGATTTTATAGTAAAAAAAATCATACAATGCATAAATTCAAACATAATAACAAATATTATATTCTTAAAACGTAGTTTGTAAGTTTTTATACTGATTGCATATATTAAATTTAATAAATAATTACAGTTTATTATAAAATTAAGCTTTAGCACAATAAGTGAGCGATTTGTTTAAAAATGTAATATGAACAGAACGATGGCAGTTTATGTAAGGTTAATATATTATATATATGTATATAATATAATACATATTATTTATACATATATTCTAAGCTTAAAGACATATTTAAGAAAATTGCATTAAATAATATAGGTTTAATAAGTCTAAACAATGGATAGACAATTTAAACTTACACATTGTTAAAAGAAATATGGAAATATAATAGCATAAATAACAGTGTTATTATTTATAAATATTGTTATTGTATTATATTAACATTTTCATTTAGCTGGATAAATGAAAACATTCATTATAATAATTAAAATAATGAATTAAAGCTTTAAAATGTAATATTTATTCGATAAACCATAAAAAATATATTTTCTAGTCTATAAATAAAGTCTGAAAATAGTTATTATTATTAAACTTAGTTTAATAAACTATATTATTAAAATGATGACATTTTAAAAGGGATATTATGTAAGAAGCGTTTTATGTAGATACACTCACTTTATAATAGTTTTTAAATTGTTCAGAAAGCTAAAAAAAAGTTCAATTACTTGGTTAATATTCAAATAATTATGAAAGTATGACAAAAAAATATACATTCAATAGTCTACAAATTATACATAACCAGTATCAAATGCGTGAATGAAATTTAAAAATTGACGTAATGTTTAACAATCATGGAAATTATCAGATTAAATATACCATAGTTATACATTTTTTATTTTTATATCTTAACGAATTCAGATAAAAGTCGAATAATTGATTAATATACCCTGTACAGTAAACTAAGTTTACCTAAAACATCCATAAAGTACATAATAAGAAGTAAGCAACATTTGAATTTCATGTTAAGACAGTATCAAAAAATTATTAACCACCTAAAATTAGAATCTAATATTAAAATAAATATAAAATAGCAAATTTTATAATTCACAATTTTATCAAAAATCAATTAAACTAAATTTATGATAACGTTTTTCTTTGGTATTTTATTTTCTGAAAATGTAATCTAAATACTATTCATAAATGACAATTTATTATATTATTGTACACATACAAAATATATTATTTAATTTATTGTTTTTTGTTAAATTTATCTATTATTGGTAATAAGAAAATTATATTAGAATATATGTCATTATTAAAGCAATAACAATTGTAAATTTCGCTTCATATTTGCTAGCAGTTCCCCATCCACATTCAATATCATTTTTAAAAGCTTCGGCTAGTGGTTTTTTCTTATCTGCACAAGTAGCTAGTTTTAGATCCTCGTCACTGATGAGACACGTAGATTTACTGGTCGAATAGTGTTCTATATCTCTAAACCTATTTGAAGGTGCTGGTGACGAGTCTTCATGGTTGCACAAAAATTGACGTTTTTTACGATGCCAAACTTCCATCCAACTACATATAAAAATTTTTTTAAAATATAGAAAGCTATTAAATTTAACTAATTTAAGTATAGTAACTCATATTTCAAAATCTTGTTAGTATAATTTCTATTATTTTATTAATAACAGAAGTGTAATGATAATAATACAGTTGATTTGTAAACAGTAAATTATCCCTTAAACAAAGGATTACCAACCTTTTTAAAAGACCAACTGAAGCAAATAGGAGTTATATATGTGGAACGCATACATTTTTATTTGCATAAATTATATGTATAACAATAGCAGACATTAATATAGGTATGTGTTTTATATTAATATATTTTGTATATAATAGCAAGGGAAAAAATATATAAATTTATAACTAAATAAAGAACAATTTTTATGCATTTTGATATAAATTGACGAAAAATAATATTTCTACTGTATTGATGTACATAATATTATTTCAATTAAAATAAATAATTACCCGATATTGCAATCACAGATCCATGGGTTTCCAGATACTTTCAATGAAGTTAAAAAAGTTTGGCCATGTTGATTTGGTAAAGAACTAGTGGACGGATTTCCAAATGATTTCAACGAATTATTTCTGATGTCTATACTAATATTTCTTACAATCCCCATGTGTCGGAAAATATCAGCTGATATCATGTCCAAGCTTGTATTAAAAATTGTTAAATTCAAATTTGGATACCTCAGACCCTAAAACAGTTTTCTGAATTATCAACATATCGATATATTGATGAACTACAGCATAAATATAACTATTAATAAAGTTATATTTACTTGAAATATGTTATTTGATATTAATCCATGTAAAGCTTTTCCGCTAATCGTCAAGTTTCTTAATTTATATGGAAATAGACCATTAAATTCTTTGCCCATTCGTGATAGTTTATCCACCTAAAATTACACAAAATATTAATAGGATGGATAAAATACAATATAAATTAGTAAAAACAAAATATTATGTAATGTTGAATTTCAAAATAAAATGTTTAAATAATAAATGTTATGTTATTACATGATTTAAAAAAAAAATATTGTAAATAAAAATATTTTATTCTATGTATGTAGTTGAATTGTTTCACATTTGGTAGAATAGCACATTATATTGTTATATTTTTCAATTGAATTTACTAAAAAAGTATAAATGTATATAACAATTTATTAAAAACAACACTTACTTTAAGATTTAAATTTCTTAAAGAATGTATGTCCGAAATCACAGAGGGAATATTAAAATCCTTGATACCAACGAATGTACTAATTACTAACGTTTGTAATGATACCATTTTGTTTAAAGCGCCGGTCTGAAAACAATACATAATAATAATAAAACAAATTGTAACTAAACAAAGTGACTAACTTCGAATGATACTAATGGCAGATAGCTTATATCTAAGGATATCAGTTTTTGAACACCCATGTTAAGAGTGCTATTGTTTAGATCGTAGATATCATTATTAGCTAAATTAAGATAATTGAGTTCTGGTAAGTTCATTATAATGGATGGAAATCCAATTAACTCATTGTGGCTCAAGTCTAAACTTCGTAGTGATGATAAATTAGAAGCTCTATCTGGTGATACAGTTGATATTTGATTCCTCGATAAATCTAAGTTTAGTAGAGAAGGTAATGATAATTCTGGTAGCTGAAAAATAAAAATATTTATTACATAGTATCATTAAAAAAAAAAAAAAAAAATTAAAATCTAAAAATGACTCACGAACGTTAAAGATACGTTATTAAGTTTAAGGTGTTGAAGTGACTGTTCAAGACCTAAGAACATACGACCTCTGTTTTCAAAAACTAAAGCATTGTTATGACTTATGTCCAAATAAGTTAAGTGGATTAAACTCGCAAAGTTTGAATCTTCTAAATGTACCAAACGATTACCAGCCAAATTTAATCGTTTTAATGACTAAAATTAAATAACTACTATATTATAATAACAAATACTATTAAAATTACATTAACAATAATTTACTTTAAATCTAGAAAACATTTCAAAAACCGGCAATGCCGTTATGGAATTGAAAGATAAGTTCATGTCACACAAAATACTCGCTGAATTTACGGCAAATGACAAAACTGGCATACGTGACAATTCATTATGAGCCATATTTAATACTTCCAAATTATCTTCAGTGAAAAACATATCCGGTAACACCCTAATTTTGTTGTATGAAAAATCAGCCAACCGTAATTCGGTAAATCCTTTAAATAAATCATTGGGTAAATCCACTAAATGATTATGGTTCATAATGATAACTTGTAATTTTTTCGATCCTCTGAGCGAATCAAATCCCACTTCAGTAATATGATTATGTCCAATATCCAGCCAAATAAGATTATATAAGTTACCAAATACATTTCTGGACAATTGCCACATATTATTAAAAGACATATGTAAATAACTTAAACTTGACTCCATTGGAGAAAAATATTTGTCTTCAATGCTTTTAATACTATTATATGAAATATCTAAGACCTATGCAAAAAATGTAGATTAGCCCCTAACTTCAACATACTTATTGTTATTAAAATTACTCGAATATTTGATTGGATATAATAATCCTTGGTTGAAAAATTGGAATTCGAAGATAATTTTGATAGAAGATTGTGACTAACATTCATACGGAAGTATGAGAGCATACCAACCTGTAAAGTAGTTTGATCAAATACCTATTCCTATATTATGTTTTATGATTTATATTTTAAATACCTGATCTAAAAATGTAAAATCCATATTTTTAATATGATTATACGCTAAATCTAATTCTTGTAAATATGGTAAATTTTGAAATGCTTCTATATCTAACTTTTCTATTTGATTTCCTCTTAAGATTAACCATCGTAAACGTTCCATGTTGGTAAAAGCATGTTTTTCAATACGATTAATTCGATTTTCATCTATATGAATTTTTCCTAACGATTGTAAATCGTCAAACGTTCCTTCTTCAATTTTCTTTATCATATTAAAAGACAAATAAATTTCTTCTAAAAGACTATGGCTCGTACTCTAAAATTATCATAATTGATAAGAAATGTTAACGATTTAATAAATAATTAAATTTACTTGAAAAGTTCCTTTATGTAAGTATTCTACCATACAATCTTGAAGCTTTAAAGTTCTCAGATTTGTTTGAAAAAGAAATGTAGATTCTCGAAGGTATTGCAAATAATTATTACTTAATTCCATGTACTTCAAATTAGATAGATACCGAAAAGCATCTCCAGGTATAAGTTTAAAAGATGGCGCAAAAGCGTGTGACATTTTGAGGTATTGTAATGAATGTCCTATCTAAGAGAAAAAAATATAATAGTTAACTTAATTAATTAAAATATTTTTAAAATTATTTATCATAATTATAATAAATTATAATATAAATAAATATAATTATTATTTTAATTATTTAAACCTCTTTAAATGCGTCAGAGTCCAATACGTTGATCATATTATCCGACAAATCCAAATATTTTAAACCGTGAATATGCTTAAACGCATGTGCTCTAATTATTTTCAAATCTGATCCTGTGATTTGTAATTCTTCCATATCAATAGTGAAGTTCGCAAACATATCTGGCTCTAAAGAAGATGTTATCATTTTTGATAGAGAAAGACGACGAAGATATTTAAAACTAAAACACAACAAAATGGGTTACATTTTTTATTGGTTAAACAACTATTTTTGCATACCCGTTAATAGAATTGATTTGAAATGGACCATTTTTCATTCCAGAAAAATCAAAATCTTGTAAAGAATAAAATTCGTGATGATTCTCATTTTCCTTAGAATTTTCTCTGTTTTCTTCACGATCTACAGCTTTATCTTTTATTTTTTTCTTTTCGTTAGATTTCATATTTTTAAGTGGTTCCACATCATGGATAGGAAATAAATGTTTTATCTTGTTGTCTCTTAATCCCAATTTCATAAGCATGTTAAAATTTTGCTGTAACTTCCAAACAGGAAATTCTGTTATATTATTATTCGACACGTCCAAGGTGTGTAAATATGTTTCAAGGCCTTTAAATGCTTCCATTGACACATTATAAATGTTGCAATCGATCATATATAGTTCTCGAATCTTAGTATTTTGAAATGCTCCATCCTAAAACACTAACATTATTTTAACTGACCAACATAAGATGAAATTCTAAATATGATATATGATATAATATTTCAAAAGTACTCAAACAGTAACGAAATTAAATTCATTAATTACTCATATAATCATATGCAAGCATACGGGTAATGCCGGGTGTGTCTAGGAACCTCCTCCCACCCTCAAATATTGTAAATGAGGTCCTACAATTTAAACCTAATTGTAAGGGGCATATATTTTAACTGATGTTGCTTAAATGAAAGGTAATTTATTTAAAAATATTAGGTAAAGATAAATTATGTTTCGTAATAGAAAAAATAAAACAGAATGTTCTACATTTGCATGTAAAAACTTATTATGATATATAATATAATAGCTACTGTAGCTATGATATAATAGCTACAATTGACTACAAAAATACAAATCATAAATAATTGAAACTTTCTGAGAAAAATATACGAGATTTAAGGACATCCCAAAACATATTCTTTGGGACTAATATTCCATAATAATAAATTAAAAAATTAAAGTTATGCTTATTTAATTATTTATACATTATAAGTCATTAAATATGTCTACACATTTGGTGAAGATAGAGTAGTAGTAAAGTAGGAATCCCCTGAAATATAGGTCTGGGCACGCCTATGCGTATAATAGACAACAATTTATTTAGTATATCATAAATCTTTGATAGTCTTACATTGGAATTGTATTTAAATCCTTGATATTTGATTCTTAGCATTAATTCTAATTTAAAAAGTATTTGAAATTAAAATTTGAAAAAATATTAATTTTTTCTAATATATGTATTAAAATATTAAATATAATTAAAATAATAAGTTCTACTTATTATAAACAAAATAAAAATCTAAATTTTAACATTAAAAATATTATTACTATGCTATTAATTATAAAAATATATAAAATATGTATTCACTTGAATATGAGTAATCGGGTTACCGTCAAAATATGTTTTGTTTATAGCTTCAAAATGTTGTAAGCTATGTTGTTCTAAAGTTTTTATATGATTGTATTCTAAATGCAGTTCGTCTAAAAAAAACTTGCGTCGGGCACCCCGAGGTGATACTGTTGATATTGGTCCTTTTGTGCTTTCAATTAAATTGTAACTAACATCCAAATACTTCAAAAATCTGTATAAAAATTTGTTTTATAACATTTATTATTTCAATTTTTTAAAAAAGCTATTATGGACCAAAATTAACAAATCCACACTATTTTTATAGCTTAATATTTAATTTTAATCATTAACACATTAGTCTACAACTAAAATACTATAATAGATATACATATTTGTACGAATTAAATATATATAATATTTATCGTTTTTTATTGGTTATATTATGTATTTAAATTAATACAATAATATTTTAATTCATAAACTTGGAAATTTTAGTTTGGTAAAGTGTCAGTAATTTAACCGTAAGTTATCACATTTTATTTAAATATTTCCTATTTAAAATAATACAAATTACAAATTATCATTAAATACAATTAAATATCAACCTAATATACAAAATGTAACTGATTACTTCTAATTATTTTATACGTATTTTTTATACTTGCTTCATTGCTGATGAAGATAAATGCAAATAAGGAATGAACTTTAATAGATTATCAGCTAAATTAAGTCTATAAAGTGTCAATGGACCATCTTGAAATGCATTTATATGAATTTCCGAAATCATGTTACCAGACAAATCAAGATTCTCTAACAGTCCGAGGTTATCAAAAGCTCTGTGAGGTAAATATGTGAGTGCATTATTAGAAAGTTTTAAAACTTTTAAAGATTTTTCTAATCCATTCCAATCGCCCATCTTTATTTCAGATATTTGATTACCTGCAATGTATATATAATAATAATAATATCACATTTATAATGTATATAACAAATAATAGGTTTAAATACATACCCGATAGATTAAGTATTTTTAATTTTTGTAATATCCGTATTGCCTTAGTTGGAACGTAAGTTAGAAGTGTACCAACCAACTCCAATTCCCATAATGAATACTCTAATCCATATAAAGAGTCATCGTTTAAATACGTCAATGGATTATCTTGGATTGTCATCTTATAAAGTCCTAAATTAATTAATTTCAAATTTTAAATTAAAATAAATTAATGATTAATGTAGACAATATATAAACTATAATTACTATATACACATATGTGTACTTCCTTGTCAAAAGGGTCCATTTGGTCGATATTGAGTTAAAACTATATTCATAAATTAGACAGGATTTTCAAGAAAATGAGCCATTATGGACCTTTTTATGTTGAAAACTCGCTTTTATACGTAATTTTGAAATTGAAAGTTTAAAAACCTAGTTTTCTTAAAAATGTGAATATAAAATCTTGTGAAGTAAAAACAAGAGAAATTAAAAAAATATGAACTCAAAGTTTCAAAATCTAGTTAAATTAATGTAATTTATTAACATCGGATATAAAGGAAGAAGGTTTACTCTCCCTAAAACGCCGAAAACCTGAAAATTACTTTTTTCAACCTAGCAACCGAAAAATCGCTGTATATCGAATACTGTGATCGACCATATGGGTCCCTTTGAAATGGAAGTACCTACACATATATTAAACAGCAAAATGTTACACATTACACAGCGAATGAGGGGATAATTTACCGGTGTTTACGAGGAAATAAGGTTCTATGCTGTCTAAATCATTGTTCCTGAGATGTAATGTCGACAACCGAGATCGGTTAATAGCTGGCGGTATGCGTGGAAAGTATACATCAACACAGTGTACCTCGCCCAAGCTATCATACGACTTGGTACATGAACAGAGAGGATTGAAGGTGCATGGTTGATAATCTTGCGTAATACTTTCAGCTCCTATGCTGGACATCCATAACATCACTAATAATTTGAATATCATTAATGCGTATCCAATGTATATGAAAGCCATGACTGCCTAAAAAATTAAAAATGATTTGGGATTATTGTTATTTAAGGTTCCAGGTGGAACTACATTCTAATGTTTTAAGTTATAAACGAGTCACTAATAACCGGCTTTTTTTCACTCAAAACATAATTTATAATTTAAAAAAACCAAAAAAAAGTTTTATTTACAAATAAAACAACACATTTGAACTTGATATTTTTATTATATAATATAAAACAATTTATGTGTAAATTAGCACAAATTTAAAATACAATAAATTGTCAAGATACGTAATCGTTAACATTTCTAACATTTAAAAAAACATAATTCTCTAAATAAACCAAAATCATCAAGTTTTATTTTTTAATAGGAAATAAATTTAAATTAATTTTGACATCAAATATGTTTTTGAAAAACTTTTCTGATAAAACCATGAAGAAATAAATTATACGTATTTACGTATTTACGTATTATATACAAACTAATATTGCAATTTTTTATATTTATAACTAAAATAAATTATGTAGAAAAGTCAATGCATTATAGAACATTCAATTGTACCTACCAGGAACTGGAACCAGAATCGAAAGAACCGGTTCCGGAATCGGAACCTATTTAAAAAAATTAAAAATATTTTTGGTTCTTTACGGTTCTTCAGAGTTTTTCGATTTTATAAAATTAAAGCAAATATAACTAAAACCATTTATCTAATATTTTAACAATAAACATGAACTTTTTGTTTTTATCTTTATTAGGAAAAATATAAGGCCGTGTTCTCACCAAAGCAACTGTCGATGGTACAGGCACGTAATCAGAAAATATTCATTAGGTGGTCCAATGTTAGGTGGGCTCCCTCCTCCTAGGACTTTTTTATATTATAAAAAGGTAGTTATCAGCAGTGGCATAAATACGGAGGGGTTTTCCGGGTTTAAACCCCCCCAGGGCCAAAAAAAAAAAATAAAATTGTTTCATTACTGATGACGTGTAATATATTTTTAGTTTCATTATTATGCTTTGAACTTAAAATATACAACTATACAAATATTATGATAATTAATTAATTATAATGATAGGTGTTTGAAAAGTTTTGTTAACTATGCTGTTTTTATATTCCAATAGCTATTAATTTACTGTAATGTAAAAGTAAATTGTAAATTGGTAAAAAAGTTGTATAAAATAATATCTATTTATAGCAGTTATTTATCTTATTTATCTGTGCAACGAAAAAAAAAAAGATAACGATTATTTTTGTTAACCTCCTCCCTCCCCAGAGCAAGATCGAATTTACGCCACTGGTTATCAGCGTATCATTACTACAAATATATATGTATATAATCTAATAACACCATATTTTATCATTTTGTTCTTCTCTTTGTAATTTTAGTTTTCTTTTGGCACATCCACTGAGAGGTGCCATTTTAAAATTAATTTAAATATTAAATATATAAGATAAAATGTATAAATACTATAAATTGTACAAATATTAACGCAGGTGATGTTAGCATAAGTGCGACATGCGCTGAATGTGAATGTAAGTACCCAATCGGAGACCATAATATAATTCTATATTTCTATATGAATCAATATAATGACAATACCCTCCCTCAAATTATTTTAAAAATAGACATACAAGTATACAGTAGTCACTGTCTAGATATGATAAGAACAACTTGACATTGTAGTATAGTACCGGTATTTAGCTATAAATAGCAATTATTTCCTAATCAATCGTTTAAATTTAGTTACAAGTTCCATTACTTAGATTATAATTAAAACCCAATGTATTTGGTTTTATTTGCGTCATATTTAGGCAATATTAAAAATTTGGTAAAAATTAAAAGCAATCATATAATAATGAGCCCCTCTTAATACTTTAGGTGGGCCGGCCTAAGGCCGGACACATATTAGGGTGGGCCAGGCACACCCTGGCCCTCTTTTAGCTACGTGCCTGCGATGGTAACGCAACTTCGACGCGACGCAACATGTGTTATTAAATCGACATGTTTTCACCTGCAGCAACACAACTGTAAAGCAACTCAACTGTTTAAAAACTATTTTTAAGCAACTCGACATGACAGTCTCTTTCCACCAGTTGCTCGTGGTTACTGTATCATAGTTTATTTTAGTAAGGTACAATATTATATTTTTTAATTATTTATTTAAAGTGGCAAACGAACAAAAAAAAAAATGTGACTTTTATACAATTTATAGAAAGTCATATATGTCTTTATGAAATAAAATCATATAATTACACCCGATAAGATATAAAAGTGGAATGAAATTTCAATTACAACAAATAATTCTAGTAAGTCAATGATGTCCTTTTTATTACGAAATAATAACTAATTTATTTTTTACATTCGAGTATTCGATGTATTCGACATACTTATAATATTAAATACATCATATTATACTTAAATAAATAAAATTAAAACAATAATAATTAATATGCAATTGATAGGTATAAGTTAAAGGTAAATTAAGTTTATTTTCAGTTTTTTTTTATGAGAACATAAAGGTAACTCAACTGAAATTACAGTCGCATTGCTATTGTATAGCCGTTGACAGTTTCTTTTGTTGAGAACACGGCCTAATGATTTGATAATTATATTTCTTGTAATTTTTGTATTTTATACATACGAGCGTACGTATACAAAACGAACTTAAAAACACAACAGGTTCTGATAAATAGCGAAAATACGCAGTGTGCCGACAGCCGAGACCTTAATAATAATAATAATAATAATAACCCCAATAATATAAGATTCATACAAGAGTCAGATAAACATCATGTGGTATAATATATCAATTTCCCATTTTATTGAAAAAAATATTTTATATTTAGCACGACAGTAACCGACACCACGCGATAAACTACTCCTCCACGTTCAAAATACTACACATCACGATCATTTCTATGCAGTATGCACTATGACTATCAGGTCTGTTTTTTTGTGTACATTTGGTGACTGGTGTAGTAACTGCAGGAAGAATTAAAGAAAGTCTATAATATTTTTAATAATAAATGCATCTATTATTTTTGAAAAATAGGTCGTCTGTCAACTTCAATAGTTCATAAATATTTTAGCTATAGTAAAATAAAAGACCAATCAACCTGTAAAACATGTTCATGCACAATAAAAAAAGTGAAAAAAATGTTGTTAAAAATGTCGTTTTTTTTACTATTTGAATAATTAATTTTTAGACACTTTAATTTTTGTTAATGGATTACGGTAAAAAAAAATTAGAAAATTTAAATAATTTATTAATGAGTAATAACACATTAATGGTTACAATTAAATTTTTAAAAAACAATCATTGTATGTAAAGTCAATTACAACTTTAAATTGACAAAATTATTGTTTTAAACGAATTTTTAATTTTCTCAACTTGAAATTTTTTTTACGTAACTTAAATATCTAAGAATTGGAACCGAAATGTTGTATTATTTAAGAACCGCAACCGAATTGTTTAATTTTATAAGAACCAGAACCAGAACCGATAAAAACATCAAGGTTCCAGTCCCTGGTACCTTGGTCACATAAAATGTAAATTGTTCTTGAATTCTGAGTAAGCAAATAATTTTATTATAACTATGTGTTTTTAAATTTCTTGAGTAATTGCAAAACTGTTTACATTTTAGGTAATTTCGTTTCTATTAATTGATCTTAAATTTAACACAGATTGTACAAAAATAATTTCAGCATTTTAAAATCATTTTCAAAGATTGTTTAAGCTGTTTTTAAACCATAAAAATTTTAAAAATGAACCAAGTAGTATGTACCACTTAGAATCGTTTTTAAATGTAATAATTTATTATTACCATACAATTATCTAATAGTTCACCATAATTGTATTTTAATGCTGTTTCTCCTTATTAAAAAAAAAAAAAAAAAAAAAAAAATGAGAATATAATATTCAATTTCTCACCTAAATCTTGGATTCTTGAATCGTTATAAAATTAATCTAGTTAATTAGGCTCAACATTTATTTTTATTAATAAATTGAAAAATAATACTAACCGAAAGTATGTATATGATAATATGTAAAACAATCAATTCAATTGTGAACTATGAATTGTAGAATTTTCAACTATAATTGATGTTAAATGAATAATTAAAATGAAAAGTAAAGGTCATGTAATAATGACGCAATCTTCAAGATATCATACAATGAAGAAGTTTAAAAATAAAAAAAGGAATTGAAATTCCCCATCAAATCTAATTACAATATGAACGATAAGGATAATACAATACCAGAATGTATAATTTATAGCAGTGATGATCAACCTTTTTTCCTCGGCTGGCCATTTTGGTAAAAAATTATATTAGAGTGGACCGTCAAAGATAAAAGTACGAATAATATCAATATTAATGTAATGTTACACATAGTAGATATACAATATACGTATACATATTGGCATATATTGAATTTGTTAAATATTTTAATGACTAAAAATGAATGTATACTTACAGAGTATACATTAATTTGATTAGTATGCTCTTTTAAACTCACGTGTTATATCTTGAAATTTCTGTTTAAAAATGCTCGAAAACAAAATTTAATACATTTTTAAAAAAATCGTATTTAAAAATAATGTGATGAAAATATAAATAGTTGTAAATTAATCCCTGGCATTATTAATTTTTTAATATGCGTACGAAAATTAATTTCGTTAATTAATTATTTATCAACTAGATTTGAGTTTCAATATAATATTCGATAATAATCTTAGTTTAAGTTCATAGTTTAGCTAAGGACTTGGATCGGAAATACACTATCAAAATGTTTGATTATACACTTACACCCAATCATTTTGATCCTAGGCTAGAGCAATTATCGATTAATAGAGGTCATATACCCAATACCCAATATACGACAATGCATATATATGTTTGTCGCAAATAATATAATTTTTTACCCATATATTATATAATGAATGTGAAAAAAGTCCAAGGGGTAGGCATCTATATTGTATCTTACCTATATAGGTACTGCTCTAGTCTGGTAGCATATTTACATGTATGAAAACCAGTCAAAATTGTGTATATTATTACTATTTATAGGTTCCTAAATTATCGTCACTACACTTATACATTTTGTATCTTTATATTTCGAATATTAATGATTCTTATATTGTTTCGAAAACAACTAGAAAACATACTTTCATTACTTTTAATAGCATTGAAAATATTATAAAAACGTTGTTAAATTTATAATACACATATTGTATTCTGCATTAGTAGCTTTAGAAATAGAACGAGAAAAACAATTTATCTATTAATTGGTGTCAATCATAATATGATCTAAGATTATGTATTAAGAGTACTTAATAATTTTAAATTACACAATAAATCATCTTGCATGTGATATAAATGTATTAATAATATAGTTATTGCATATGTTTTTTATTTTTTTAATTAATTTAATGAAGACATTATGAAATGTTCGGTTGATTAATGCAGGTAATTTTTTGGGTAATTTATTATATTACATATAAGATCCAATTCGAGGTACTTATTTTCTATTTTTAAGGAGTTATATGGAAATAATATGGAATTTCGTCTAACAAGATTGATTAAGCTAATTTACGTTATGTTAGCAGTTTAAAAGATTTGATTTAAAATTGTTTACACAAGGTTTTTTTTTTTTACATTTTCTTAAAAGTTTTATACGATGATTTTCTTAAACAATAGCTACCTATTAAATATATATTCATTATATAACTCGTACACAATCTTCATCATATTGTAGAATAGTATTTTGTAAACTATGATTCATTGATTTTTTTTATACGTGAATTTTAGTTTAAATGTACTGTTCCATAAACAATGCATAATAATTCAAATTATGGATAAGTAAATAACGTATTGTTTCTTAATAATAATTTAAATTTTTTTTTGATATTTTGTTTTATTTAAAAAAAAATTATAACGGGCCGCATTGAATACCTAACCTTCGTAGGCCACATGTGGCCCGTAGGCCGCGGGTTGGGCACCACTGAATTATAATATGATTTATAATTATTAACAAATATTAATTAGTTTTAGATCAAATTTAGAGTAGTTTAATCTGCTTGTTTCGCTCTGTATTATTTATTTTAGTCTCCAACTGAAACCAATTTTTGAAAATTAAACATCTTTGATCGATTTGACGTAAGGATAATTATTGTCTAAAATGTACTGTGACATTGTATATGTATATATACAATTTAATATATTGTATAATACATTGTATTGATAAATTGTAAACAATCAATCGAACTTCACTCGGAATTGTTTTTCAAAAACCATTGGTCTTAAAAGCTAAACACCTCAGCCAACTGCTGAACCTTACAGGGCACAATTTTATTACTAACGATAAATCAAACTAATAATATAATATATTAACACACTATTATACTAAATAGATTTACAGTGTTACGGTATACTCTTAAATATTGAAGTTTAAGTTAACAATGCTCAGTAGCGTATCCAGGGGGAAGTTAAAACCCCATCCCCCGAAACTTTTAATCTAGAATATTTTTTGAGAGTCTCAGTATTCATACCTTTTATAGATAATTTTCTAAAACAATTGAACGATAGATTTATATCACACAGGACTGTTTTGAATAATTTTAATTGTATTTTACCTAAGATAGAAATGAAAATACCTGACGAGATTAAAGGTATAATTAATTAGTAGAAATATATCAAGATATAATTAATGAATGTACTGATTCAAAATTAAATAATCATATATTAAACGAAGAATTAGATTTGTAGTACACTAAATATTCAAATTTAACATTTTCCGAACTCAAGTACAAATATGCTATTGAATTATACTTCCAAACTTGTCCAGATGTTTATTCAGTAATATTTAAACTTCTTCAAACATTCATAACACTTCCAGTGTCTACTGTCACGGGAAAACGGTCGTTTTCAACACATCGTCATTTGAAAACTTATTTAAGAAATTCATCTAGACAAATACGTTTAAATGGTTTAGCCTTACTAAATATTCATCGCGATATTAACATAGATATTAATAATTTTATGGATGAACTTGCTAAAAAATCAATACAAAAATTAAATATACATTTATAATTTTTTTTTTTAAAAAATAGATAAATATTTAAATATTTTAACTTTTATAATCAGTGTATTAAAATAGTAATACAGTGTTTAATGTATGATTATTATCTCTGGATTATAATAAAAATACACAAAATTCAAAAAAATATAATGTAACATTTTTTGCCCCCCCCCCCCCCCCAAAAAAAAAAAAAAATTCTGGATACGCCACTGACAACGCTTCACTATATAATATAGAGGTGGTACAAGTAGTATATAGGATATAGCTACTCGTATATTATACATATATCTACGTTTCTAAACTGTATTATAAACAACTATGATTTAAGTATCTCACGAATTATTATTTTACAACTGCTGATTCCGTGGTTGGTTGGAAGTATCTGCCACTTTTTGTCGTCGGTATTTGTCGTCGTTTGTACGTGTATATCAAATGCGTGCGTGCTTACATCCTACTTCGAATAGACCAAAACAAAACAATTATCTGACATAGTATGTTTGTATGTTTCTCATGTAATGGTAAACTCGTTAAACGCGCCCGAACACTGCACTGCACTGCCCGTCCGAATGAAGTTCTCCTGTTACAAACGAAACAATAATTGACGAAGCATTTGAAAGTTTTCCTGCGACCGATTCGAATAGGATTAGCGGCCAATGTGCTTGAATGTGCGTGCGTGTATGTCTGTGCGCGCGCGTGTGTACATATAAAACGGTAACCGTGGTTCGTTCCGCCTCAATACCTAACACGAGTGGTCACCGTCGTATTATACACATGCAACGCGTGCGTTCGTAATGTCTATACACATCAATTATACGCGCGGAGCATCGTTTGGCCCAGTAGCGTGCAGAACCCTTTCTCCGTGTGTGGTAATATTAATTACCTTACACTGCATCCCACCTACTAGTCCTCTGCAAATCGTATGCGTTTTATCGAAAGACTTGCGAGGAATATTCGTTCACTGTTGCATCAGATGAATACCACAGCCATAGACTACGTTTAACTAGAGTTGGTCTATCCATCAAGGATATGCTTCTACAATGATAAAATATTTACCATGACACAATCCATCCACCCACCTATTCGATTTTCGAATCGGGCTTAGGACCTATTTGTGTCACGTTTGCACACCCATAGTCGTTCACGAGATTCATCACACAAGCACATGACACACGACACATACACATATATAATGTATAATTCTGTTTTTTAATGGAACGAAAATAAAAATTATTTATTTATTTAACTGTATTATTTACAACGACGTCGTATTTCTGGTCCGGCGACACGAAACGCAATCGCCGAGTAAAAATGTATACAAAGCGTATTCATTATCTGTTCAAAAAGAACCGGCTGCTGAAAAATAGCTTGTATAATATATAAACTATTTTTCAGCATATTATGACCATATATTATAACCATATTATGGTCAACGAGTCTGTGCGTACAACGATCGCGAGACGTACTATTAAGACGAGATGCTTAATTTATTTGCTTAATTGACCTAATCGTGGTTATAAGTGGGCGTCCATCCAACATGTGTTACATATAACTACAAATAAAAATAAAAAAAAATATTAATTATATTACAGGTGTGTGCAGACACCCGACAATGACATTGAAGTTATTAAAATACAACATTTTAAAGAGAAAAACAAAATGTCTTATCAACCTCATAGTAAAAATCTTTAATGAAATTGATGACAAAATCAAGAATTATATTGTATAACAAAGGTAGACCTAGGGGAGGGGAAGTTCTGCTCACCCACAGTTTTATTCTCATTTTTAGCCCCTATATTAATTTTTGACATAACTTCATCAAAGTATCGAACAATTTTTATTTAAATAGAAATACGCATTATTTCAACCATAGGTATGGTAATTTGAAAATATTTTACACAGACCTCACCTGAAATGGTGTCTGTTTGAAAATATATTTATAAATTTATAAATAACAATTAAAAAATATACACTAGTCACTAGCACTGATGTCTGATATAATATGTATTATGTCTAGCTGTTTATTTTTAAATGAATTCGACAACCCAAAATAAATTCAGCTATTTTTTTCATAATCTACGTCAAGCCCGAATTTAAAAATTTAGTGCCCCCGAGCATATAATTTATGCCCCCCCCCCTCCCAAAATATAAATGATAATAATATAACACTTATTATTTCGTCCATAATCGAAATTCTTTAATATTAAAATATAACTTATAAATGAAAATCCTTTAATACTTTTTTAAATCAACAAATTAAACAAATTATAATATAATAAAAATACAATTTTTTTTTTTTAATTTACAAATTATAACATAATAAAACATACTATTTTTTTTTTCATTAGGTACATCATTTTTAAAATATTTTGCCGCCCCAGAGACTTGACGCCCCCGGGCATAAACCTACCCGTGCCCCCCTAAATACGGGCCTAATATACGTAGATTATTATCTAAAGTAGGAGTTATTTATTTATATATCATTGTATTACAAGTGCTCAGTTAAATTAAGTACCTACATAAAGCTATAATAGCATATATGCACTATCATAGTAGCAATAAATTTAATAATGCACCTACTCTATTTATGTATAATTTTATGAATTATGTTAACCGATTTACCAATCATAATTAATTTCGCATTCATCGACTGTTGTGTCTGAGTGTCTTAAATTTATAACGTCTTGTACTTTTATATTTTGCTTCTTTTTGGTTCAGTTATAGAACCTTAAATTAAAAAAAAATTATACTATCTGGTAGAGTGAAACGTATTGTAAAAGAAAAAAGTGGTTAAAGGAAATCAGAATATTCCATCGTTCCTTAAACCTAATACCAAACCTGAAACATCTACGGGATATAGTTCTAGTGAAATAGATAATCCATCCACTTTATCTACTCTTGGTATGCATTTGAAAAATAAAAAAATAAGGTTGTTAAAAAACTTTTTTCAATAAAAAAATCAATTTTTAAAGTATTTTCCATGAAAATACTAATTAGTTACTATAGATATAACAAAAATAACTATAGATGCTTATTTAATATTATACTTGTATTTTATAATTTTTATATCTGAATAAAATCTGTTTTAATTATGTCATAAAGCATGTAAGTAACAAAAATATAATGTGTAAAATTATTAATTGTATAAATGTTTATTTTTTCATTCAAGTATATGATTAAGACATATTAGATATATAGTCTATTATGGATATGAAATTATTCGTACAAAAAACAAATTAAATACATTTGTCACAAGTATTAAAACTCAACAAATCATTTATAACTTTAATGATAATCATGTATGCTCAGCTCACAACTTAAATGATCTTAATTGTTTAAATAAAAATAAAATTGCATTCGAATAGATAGTTCAAATGGTATTGATAAGTTATTGTTAATTGAAAAAAAATCGAAATGCATTAAATAAAATCAAAAATTAATGATGAGATACTGATTAATCACTTATATTTTTGTGAAAAGTGATTTATATTATGAATATATAAAGCAAATAAAGTAAATCGTTACTTGCAAGCAAACCGAGCAAATTTGTGATACATAGAATATAGATGGTTGGTTTTACACGACATGACCACTTTTGAATTAAGCTGACCCACAGCCAGTGCCGCAATTAGCACCAGGGCAAGCAAGGCAAAGACATATCAAAGGGCCTAAATTATTATTTTGAGGGACCCATTTTTATATTTGAATAGATAGTAAACAGAAATTATATAAATTGAAAAAATTTTAAATATAAATTAGTTAATAAATGATAATGACAAATATTACTTCATTATTGTATTTACTTAATTAATAACTATTTAGAAAATGCATTAACAGAAATTGTTGATAAAACAGAAAAAAAATAAGAAATTTGGTAACAGAATAGGCACCACTAATTTTTCTTTTGAACATACCTTAAGTCTCTACCAAAATAAAATCAAACCACACCAGTACAACAATACACCACAATTAGCACTAAAAATAAAAATAGAATGGCAGGGCTGTATCAAGGAGGGAGATCTTGGAGGAGGCTATCGCCCCGGGCTGCAAGTTGAAAGGAGCCACAATAAGCAGCCAATTTTTTGTCAACAATTTGTCGTTGTGTTAAAGTTGTGAAAAATGAAATGATGAAATATACTATAATATATATAATATCTTATTTATTATGTTTAAATTTTTAAAAATGTGTACTAATGTAACCTTAAGATAAGAATCCAGAGGCGTCATTCAAGGCCGTATCTAGAAATTTTTTTCGAGAGGGGTCCAAAACATGTATATTGTAATTTTATTGAATTTAGATTTCAACTTTTGATATTTGGTTAAAAATAAAACAGAAAAAGATTTAATCTTCTTTTATTAAAATTAATATCATATTTTCATATGATATTATGATATAAAATTAAAAGCAGTCAATGATTAATTGGAGCTTAAGTCATTTTTGACTGAAAATATTTATGTTGTCATTAAAAATAAATATTTTAAACATTCGTAAAATATTGAAGAAATTTCGGGGGGTCCAGACACTTTGGACCCCTCTCCCCAGATACGGCCTTGGCGTCATTTAAAGGAGGGCAAACTATGGAAAATGCCCCACTCTAAAAAATATTTAAAAATTCGGCAATTCTTTGTCCGATGATCAAATGCTAAAATCGGTAAATAGTAAATTTTTATTTACTATTTTATACTCTGAAATCAAATAATATTCTCCTTTTAAGTACACGTTCACGGTTTATTAAAAGTTAGGAAATACTGGCTGCTCCCCAATTTATGATGATCGTTATTATGCAAACCTTATAAACTTTATTCTTAGTACCTATATTTTACATGTTTATATATGTAATCTTTATAAAACAGTTTTAGTGGTATCGGTAGCATAAAAAACCATTAAAATCGTTCCTATTCGTCCCAAACTACGGTACATTATATTTGAGATACGATTTTATGTTTTTATAAATAAGTCCTGTTAAGTATTAAATATACAAATAATAAAATTATAATTATTTATTTAATTAAATTTATATTATTATTCCATTAAACCTATTGATAGGTAACTTATAGCCTATAGGATAAGTAAATAAATTAATGTTTTATTATCTTTAATGTTATTATTTAATTGGGTAAATTGAAACGTTTCATGTTCTCTTTGTTTATTATCATGACATCATTATTTATTACTAATCCTTATATGTTTTATTCCGAAAAAATATTTTATTAATAGTCAATGATCCATAAATATTAAATATTTAAATAAATAGATAACCATCATTTTTTAAATATTAAGAAGTCAGCAAATTTAATCAGTTGCCCCACCCTTTCAAAAGTTGAAATGATGCCCCTGTAAGAATCCTTGTAATAAATATTTTGGTCTTAGTTTTCCTCTGCTAAATAATTGTAAATATTTTATAATTAGATAAGTATAGTTATGACCAGGACTCGTGATTTATAGCACTTAAAATCACTAAAATAAGCGCTTAAAAACATTATAAGCACTACAATAAGCATTTAAAAAATTTAAAATCAAGCAAAAATATTTATTCAAAAAATAAAAATAAACTATAAAATTCTAACTAAAAAATCAAACAAAATAAAAATAAATTTTCACTTTCAAAACGTAAAGGTTTTTATGGATTTTCAAAGGGATTTTTCTGAAAAATAAAATGTAAATTGTTCACTCTGTTCTTGATAATTCTGACATTTGACACTCGTTCTATTTTCAGCGTTGGAATACCTTCATTAACCCTAAAACGATGCCTTGGACAGCGACGAACTACATGACAACGTATAATAAGATAAAAATTAATTTTAATTCTATCAAAAACGACTTTGCAGGAGAAAACTATAAAAACGTACAAAAACTGGTCAAACAAGCAAAACTAATCAGAAAAACTGGAAATAAGCATTTTTTTTAAAAATTGCTGAAAAAGCAATAAAAAGCACATTCAAATTTCATAATTGTACGTGTTAAATTTGACATACACTTCTATAGCACTCTGTTACATTTTAAATCAATCCATAAAAATAAGCAAATACTTTAACTCCCGAGCCCTGGTTTTGACTTTAAGAAATTTTAATTTATTACTTTTTTATTGATCTATGGCTTCAACTACATTGGTCATACTTTTATTACCACCAAAAATTGCCTGTATCATTATAGCCGAATTTTATGAATAAGGGCTCATGATTTTATTTTGCCCTAGGGCCCTAAAGAACTTAATTGCGGTACTGCCCACAGTAATAAAATCTAGAGACCGCCGCTGTTAAGCAATTATCCTTTCCCCACCACACAGTCGAAGGATGTTGAGTGTTCCACATCCAAGTTGTACCGAACTTACAAATCTGGACGTAGAACACATTTATAAAACAAATTAGTATTTTGTGTTTAAAAATCACATCGCATTAACTCCTGTGTCGTTTTTAACGTGACGTGAAAGGCAAATAAAACTTTTTGAAACCCTTTAGTAAAAAAGTACATTTTTCTATGCGATATAATTCATAATAATTACCTTAACATTTTAATTCGATATTCTCATGGCTACATAGAAGTAAGAGTATTGGGCAATGTCAAAGTTTGTTTAGCGAAGTTATGTTTCAAAAATTATATATAGTCAACGTGGTACAGTTTTAAAATGAAAACGTTCTAAAGTTGGTGTCCCATTTTGCTTGACTGAAGTCGTTACATAAAAATGTGTATCGTAAGACTTCTTAGATCAATAACCACCATAATAAGCCTTTGGGTCATTTTTAAGTACATAATCAAACTAAAAATACATATGTGAGAATTTCATTTTAATTACAACGCAAAATGTATGGTTTAAAATGTATTTCTAAATCAGAAAATATTAATTAAAAAATGTATTAATTTTATTATTTAGATGAAATGATTTTTCTTTTTTTTTTTTAAGATTATAACTGAAAATATTCATCTGGCGCAAATAAGGTGGATAAGTATCCTAACTTATAAATTATCTAATTTACTAATTAATATTAATAATATCATTCCATTTGGACAACAGTTCTTAACACGTAAAAATAATCATTGGAACCATATTCCCTCGAGTTTACAAGAAAAAAAAATTAAATAATTAATTTTTATATATACTTTAATAATGTCTGAATGTATTATACAGGGGAATTAAGTTATTTTATGGGAACTTAGTTGTAATGGTTGGCAAAGCCCTAACCCCACCTCCACGTGGTGCCAACTGGTAACGGAACCAGCTTCCAGCAAACGGGGGAGGCACAGAAAGAAAACTGTACAAAACCAAATACCAGCGACCAACAACACCGACCAGAGAGGCTAACATCGCCCTCAAACATCGACGCAACAGCCGAAGGATCGAAATCGACGAGGACCGAAACGAGACCATCTGCCGGGCATCCTTCTCATGTCTCACTTCCCTTCATCTGAAAAGGCCCTACAGCGGCAGGCTGCTCCAGAGCACTTAGTAGGGCACCTACACGACGGTTTATCACCGTTAGGGTGATTCCGATTAAAGATGGAAAACGGAGCGACGATGGGACGGTCACAAGATGCCACTACCGACCGCGGCTCAGATGGACCACAAACCACCATAGGACGAAAAACTGCACAAAAAAAAAAAAAAAACCAATCACCGGCGACTAACAACACCGACAGAGAGGCAAAACATCGCCCACAGACCGAGCGGCGTCGTCGGTTAAAACTGAAAAAAAAAAAAAAAAAAAAAAGTTGTACTTAAGAGATTACAATAGGAAGTCGTACACACAAAGTTCCAAAGCAGTAATGTGAGTCTCGCAGTGAACCAAATTTAAGGGCTTTCATTTTATTATAGATATTATTTTTTTAAATATCTAATCGTTTTTAAGAATATAATAATAAATAATAAATCCAACACTACATATTTATGAAAGTTTATCATTACTTAGGTACTATTGAATATAATATATCGCATCAATATTTAAAATACTTACCTTGATATTACCTGCACAACAAATTATGATTTAAAATTTGTATGCAATGACATTTGAAATTTCATTCATTAACAACAGTGAAATTCAATTTATAAAAACAGTTCCATCATATTACTTTCAAGTCGATGTTATGTACCGTTATGTTTGATGGAATCTCTAATCTCTAATTAATTAAAAATTAAATAAGTAAGAAAATAAATGTAAAGAAAAAAATATTGTCATAGGTAACTAATAAGTTAGTACTTTTCAATATACTGTCAGTGACAAATTTAAGAATAATTAAATCCCTCATATTAAATATACCAAATTTTTCCATTATCAAACAGTGATTCACTTTTAATTACTTTTTTAGTTAACTTTGATTACTTTAATTTAAGTATAATAGTGGTCTTCGAAGGAACATAGTCAGATATAACGTAGTTACCTGACTGTTGGATCCGTACATTGTTCACAAACTTCAATACCTCAATATATATAATGTTTAATAAAGATTTACAAATTATAAATACATTTTTTACCAAAACACAAATTATATAAATATTTATATTTTATTTAAAAATATTACATATATATTAGCTTATACAGCTTAGTTATAAAAAATAGTAGGTTAAACAAAAAGATTTTTTTTTTTAAATTAAATCAAAAATGTACATTTTATTGCATAAATACTAAATGTATTATAAATATAAGAACAACTATAATAAGAATAAAATGTTTAAAAGGTTATTCATATTATTTGAAATGATCTGACAATACATGGAAGTTAATACAGTAATATGTCTCTAACGCCATAGTTGTTTGATCCATTGATTTAGTACTCTTCATTTCACCATTGGAAATACCTAAATCATAAATATGCTTAATATTATTATTATAAAATTCAAGTTAATTTCTTGAATTTCACTATATGTCTGAACAAAAACAAATAAAAAAAAAACCATAAATGCTAAGAATTTATTAGCATACACAGAAATAACACAAATTTTAATCTATAATAATAAAACAAATAACTATTAGGTTCATTAAATTTAAAATGATGAAGGTTCTACTATAATTAAATTAAAACCATTTTAAATTTCATATTAAAAAAAAAACATTATTGCTTAGGGAGATTCAATTTACTTCTAGAGGCTTTTTTTAATAAATATTACTAATCAATTAACTACATATTTGATTATAACCAAATAAATAGTATACATATATTAATACTATATCATATTACCCTTAAAATTGAGTAAAACAATCAGAAGAAACCATACAAAATATCTACTTTAATTGCATTAACATATATAAAGAAAGTTATTTTTTAATAAGCTTTTATCACTAAATATCAACTATCCATTTTATCCATAGATAATGAGAAAAATATTTATCATTAATTAGTTGCAATTTAAACCTTGATAAAATTATAATTTAGATATAACTTATTGTAATATACCTTGATATACTTGTTTAGGTAAAATGTTTTTAGTATCACGATGAAATATGCTAATAACACGTCGATTATTATTCTGTGATGTTAACTGTAATGTCCAGCTATCATAAGTAAATGCTCTGAAAAAATAATAAAAAAAAGTTAATAACTAAACCACAAATAGTAAATACAATAACAAAACATAATACTTAGGTATGTGATGTTCAATAAAATGGGTATTAATTGAAGACCGGAATATTTGTGGAGGTAGAATTTTAACAGAAGTTACTGATTGTATTGGTGATTCATCACCAAGATAATAGCTCAATGCCTTTGTTATAACTGGCATCATACTCTGAGTAGATATATTTAAAACAGATTCAGTAATGGCAGCTAAATCTAAAACTGTATGAACTCTACATAACCATATCATCCATGACTCTAACGTTGTCCACCAATTAGAATAATCAATATTACAAAATCTAAAAACAAAAAGCTTGTCTATATAAATAATATATTTATACATATATAATTTAATATATATCAAATATTCATATACAGTACTTGTTGTTATATTCTAATTTTAAATTATCAGCCAAAGCTACTTTTGAAACTACAAACGCTTGAGTGTAATCATTTTTTAATTTTTCAATACCAATTTCAATTAATAGCTGAAGAGGATCATACAACTTTTCTGGATTAAATAAAGTATTTCCTGGTAAAGATTTTAATATATGTGCTAACCTTGTACCATTTGAAGATTTAATCTAAATTTAATAACATATTAAAATTTAATGAATAATTATTAATCGATAGATTTAATGTAAAACATACCAATGGCTTAAATGTTTCATTTTTTACAGACTTATACAAAAGTTCAAAACACCCAATCAAATCATGATATGATTTGCATTCTATAGATTTAAATTACATTAAAATAAAATTTAAAAACAAAAATAAATTCTCTCATTACAAACCCAGCAAATATATCCAAAGTTTATCGGTAAATTCTTGTTGAATACATTCAGAAGCAATGACATCTATGACACATTGACAAAATAATTTTTGTTCATTATCTTCTTGCCCTCCAAATTTCCCTCGTTTGTACAATGTAGAAGATACATTTTGCAACATACTTGGGAACATTTCAATAATTTTCCCATTAGTACTACCTCTTATATCACCCTACAAAATTACATAAAATCAAATTTTCAAATAAAATTTGATCATTATGCAAGTGCTTACTTGAAATTGAGGAAACACAATATTATGTCTGTTAGTCAAACATTCATCTTTCAAATATTTCAATTGATCAATTAAATCTTCTAAAAATAATAATTGGTGCCATAATGAATGCAATGGACTAGTTTCATGACCTAATATACAATGAATGTCCTGAAAAGTAAATTCTTGTGAGGCATTTGTTATAAATAATTTAATATTATTGATACAACTAGTGATATATTTTATAAATCTATGTTTTTATAATTATTTTTTTTATTATTTCATTATTTAATGAATGGAAAATTAAATAAAATACTTATCACCTATATTAATACATAAAAGTATGGAAGAACAAAAGTTGTAAAAATAATGAATTTAATTAATTTGTTAGTTTTTCTTTTTAATTAAAAAATATACTGTATTAAATGTTTTCATATACTTACAATAGATGACTCTGTTGACATGAGAGGAGCAAAAAGAGATGGTCTACGCCAACTAAGATGAAGAACAACCATTCCTGGATTATTGTCAATAAATGTTAATTCTTCTGTATTAGTAACAGTATTTAAATTTATTACAGCAGACACTTTAGACTCCAACTAAATATAATATAAATAATTTAAGTAATTTATAATATTTATAGTAAATATACAAACAGTAAAAATTTGAATTATTTATAATATTTATTTACTATCATAGATGACACTTGAGGAAATTTCTTATGAGTTTCTATCATACTTTGTACAGATAACTCATCATGTTCTACATCATTATGACCTTTATATTCACCCCAATAACGTGAATTCCATCCTTTACATGTATGAGAGCCCAACAAAATTGTATTATTCTTAAGTCCATCACATAATATGAATATTGGTACACTAATCAACTGATTATCCTTTAGTTTTAAGTACACTAGTTGCCTAAAGATAAACATTTTAAATTATTAAATGCATATAGATTTTAAACATTCGTTTTTTTTCTTTTAAATCTTTTAAATTTTTTTTTAATTTTATATTACTATAATTGTCAATCACATAATTATTAATTTTAATTTTAATAGTTCATAAATTTAAAATTGGTAAAAAAGTATTTTTTGAGTTTAATAATCATTACATATAGTAATCTGTTTTTTTTTTTTTTTTTTGTAGCAATAAGTGATATCCAATTAATAAAATAATGGTAAAAATGCCGATGATATAGGAAGAGAAGTAGAAGCTGTTCAAACAATAACTCACTCCACTGTAATAGATTTCTTTACTACGTCCATTACACAGGCAGAAGAAAATGGAGTATATACAAGTGATATTTTGGTGCTTAAACAACAAGCATAATTTAAAACAAAATAATAAAAACAAATAAGTTTTTTTAAACCAGTACTATCAAAAAATTAATTAACAGTACAAAATAAATTTGTATGTATGTATGCATTATTTATTTTTTAATAAAATAAATGATAGTTTTTCATCAAGGTAAAAGCAATTTTATGTAAGCCACTATTAGTCAGGTTATTTTGTTAATCCGACAATCCTCTGATCTGGCATCTGTAAGATTATCAAGAATCTACTGCATTTGTACATTCAAATTTAATCTTGATAAAAAAAAATATAAAACCATATAACCATACTATCATTATATGCACAAAGAAAGCTAAACTACAATAATTAAACTGGAAACTCTCCTACTACCAGTGTTTTTTAAGAAAAATACGTTTCTTGCCTCATATATAATCTAAAATCTACGCTATTAAACTTACAATTTTGTTTAAATTATCATAATTTAAATTTATGATTACAATCTAAAAGTCTATGCTAATAATATTATTTTTAAAAAATGTAAATAAAATGTTTAATAAAATTTTGAGTTTCCATATTTTACCTTGCTTGAAGCAAATTTAAGGGGAAATGGCTATCTATAGGTCTGTTTGTTTTAACTTGAATTATTTCAGCTTTTACTGGACTAAAAGGACATTCTAATGGATTTCCAGTTAATTCTAAAAAGCAAAAACAAATAATTTTAATACTAATAATAAATCAAGAAAATTACAATAAAATTCAAATTTAAATCTAGGTACCTAATTCATCATCGTCATCTTCATCATCAGAACTCAATGAATTCAAAACATTAGAGTTTACAGCTTTTTGAGATGGTTTTTTCTAAAAATCAATATTTTTTTATTAATTCATTAAAACAATATAATTACAATGAAATATACTGACATAAATATAACCAACTATGGGATTATCATCACTATTGAAACAGAATGGTTGAATGTATGAAAAGGTCCGAGAATCACATTGATTCAGAAAAAATTCAGGATGTAAATTAATTTTTCCATGACAACTTTTGATAAAACTATTAAGATCCATCGAGAAAATAATATGTACCTATAACAACATATAACATATAAAAGACAGCAAATTAATACATGATGAAACAATACATTTATTTTACTATTAATCCTATATACAATTATTAAATATTTCAGATTAATCATGAAAATTATACTATACAATATTTTCAATTGATTACATATTAATTCATAAGAAATGTTTACCAAGTATAACTTGTAAAAGTACTATAAAAAAAATATTATACATACATGTTACTATTTTTAAAGATATGTGATGTATTATTCAATTCCCAAGAAAAAAAAAACCTCTGTAAATTATACAAATATTGAACGTTTTAGAATCTATAAATATTATATTATATAGATACTACTGTACAGCGTTTTTTAAACTTTTTTATCCATGGAACCCTTTTTGATGTCCAAATTTATCATCGAACCACTACTTTTTTTTTAACTTTAAGCTTTTTTTAGCTTTTTAACTTTTCTTAAGATTATTTGTAAATAAACTATAATCATATAATAATATTGTGTTAAAGGTATTCAATTCAAAAAATATGTTAAAATAATAATAATTGTATACATATATAATAATACTTTGATCATAATTACCTTAATAAGACTAAATATAAATTTAGTCTATTCCATATGGCTTATAATTGTTATTTAATAAACAAAGATATTTTTTTCTATAATGCAAACATTTTTTCACCATTACTAATCTTAAGTTGGAAATTTTAAAGTAATTTAAATTTTTAAGAAATAACTTTAACTTCATGGAACCCTGAAGTGATCTACACAGAATCCACAGTGATCCACCCAGGTTCCGTGAAACATAGTTTAAAAAACGCTACTTTATTATATTGAGAATAATCAGGGCCTAAAGTGGAGGGTGCATGGGGACTCGGTTCCTCTACATCTCATGGCACTTATAAAACATCCCCTTTAATATTTTTTTGAAAAATTTACTGAAACACTGTTTTATAAAAATAATCATACACAATAAACCAGTTGTCAAATTGGCTTTGCAATTTAATTAATGTCACTAGGTGTTAAACAGTGGTCTACAAACAAAACTAACTTATATTAAATATAAATTATAAAGCAATATATAATTATAAATACATTTTTTCAACTATTTTATTTTATTAAAAGATATTTAAAACAATAAATAAGTAATTTACAAGTTTAAACATTTTTACAGCACATATTTGTGATGGTAGTGGAGGAAATTGCTCACTAACAACACTTCATAACATTATATATATATTTATAATTAATAACCTAGTAATTGTATAGGACTATATAGAATGCTGAGAATTATATATAGATTAGAGTCTCCCTGATTTTTTTTGCCGCTTTAAACCCTGAGAATATTAATATCAAACATAAGTTAACTTACTCGTGCAACGTATTTTTTCAATGGAAAGCGTATTTGATATAAATTAAAACCAGATTAATTTGTTCAACAATAAAAAATATTTAGTCGTAATTGCTAAGAGTTTTATTGTTATAGTTATTAATTTATGATTATTATTATTAGTAATTTCACAATTTTCGTATAATATAGAGTAATAAAAATATATTATAGTAACATATGAATATTAAGAACATATTCAATATAAGTTGTGATTCCTGAATAAAGATAATAACAACAAAAAGTAATGTTATTTAATCGACAAAAATTGGCGGGCAACTTCAAGATAGATAAACATGGTGGGCAACTATTACTATAAATTGTAGGTTAATAAATGATAAGGATCTGAAAAAGTCCGATTTATGAATCATAAAATTTATTGTAATCTCGACAAGTCATGAAAAAAATCTGAGTTTTTTAACAATAATTAATGGGTAAAAGCTAAAAAGTGTAAAGATAGATCTCTACAAGTTTACGGTTGATACGCAAAACATTGTTATTTATTTTTAGGTAATTTATGTTTGTATTTTGTGATTGAAGATGCAACCAACGAAAACGAAGCTATTATCAAAAAGGTCTAACTGGTAAGCTTGTTATAACCTGTTGTAGTTAGATAAATAAGATAGATATAATAAATAGATTTTGTCTAGGATTGCGCAAAAACGATAATGGTTCGATATATCGATGAATGAAATATCGATGTAAACTTTTATATAGATATCAAAATATCGATATAATTTTATAAATTAATATTATTAGGTCATATAAATAAATAAAATGCAAATAACAAGTAAATATTTTAATATATAATGTGTAATATTTAATATATAATATATATAATTATGTGTACATTGAATATTATAAAATTTACATCTTGTATAAGGTAAAACACTTAGAAAATTAGAAATTCAGAACCAATACTTATCATCTAAAGATTGTAAAAACACAAGTTTTGAACACCACCATTGGGTGTTTCATAAACTTGTACAAATATTGACTGACTGGTGAAATATTGTAGAATACGTGAAGAACTCCACTGTGAAATTTCACAGTTAGGTACATTACAGTTTGGTAATATTTAAGCTCATTTTTAAAATTTGTTTTCAAAAATTAATTAATATTTTAAATCACAGCGATGAACAATTAATTGTTACTGATGGTCTAACTATCAACTGGTAAGCACCAAGTAGATTTAGATTTAGATATGTTTAGAACTTAATATTTAGTAAGTAGTAATTGACACTTGACGACAAACGACAGAGCAAATAATATTTAATACCTAATACCTATGTATTTTGTAATATACCTATACTTCATAGTCTATTCAGAGTTACGACTTTACGAGTGCTTACAACTATCGATAAATATCGAAATGTTATGAACTGCGGTGCATTCCAGGAATTTTATTGAAAAACTATGGTCGAGTGCCAGACTTCCGGGTAATCCTAATAATAATCACAGGGGGTCGCGAGTACATATATAAGGATACGTTGTCCCGGTGATCGAAAACGGCGACAACCGAGATAATTATAAAGCCATTAAAACCTGTATCAACGCATGTCTAAAAAAATAACTTGGAATCAATTAGTATGAAAAAATAGTTGGATATATCAATATTACATAATATATGCATCAATATTATATCGATATATCGGTATATAAATATCCATGCGATATTTTCGATAATATCAGACTGTAATATCGATGAAACGATAATATCGATGTTGGTTGCACATCCCTAACTTTGTCATGATCATAATAAAACGAGTGATGTGATGGTATGTATGTTGGTGTATGTTGATAGTTGAGTCGGTGTTTGTTTTTAAGCATTTTTATCGTAAACTGTTAAACTTAGTACGACAAAAATAGTTAATTTTGTATGAAATAAAAATAAAATAATTTTTTCATTCATAGGTAACTAGTGGTTACTACAGCAGTTAACCTAACCTAACGTCGGAGTATAGATTAAACCTATCTAATGCAACTAAATTCGAATTCAATTTCTGATTGAATTATGGCTGCTAGTAATTTTGACGAAAAAAGTGGTATTGTACCTTGTAATACAGAGTGGGGTAGGTGGTGGCAAACCTTAGAAGAATTGCATATCGAAGTGAAATTTACTGTAAGCACCCGTTCAAAGGATGTCAAAGTCAATGTTACCAATTCAAGTATTACTTGTCAAATTTTAGGGAAAACTTTATTTTCTGTAAGCTAATTTGACTAATATTTTTTATATTTCTGTTGCCCAGAATAGATTAAGACTGTTCTGTGGTGTAGTGTTGCTAATTTATTAATTTGTTTATATTCTATAGGGAAATTTATTTAGAAAAGTACATGCAGACGAAACTGTTTGGACATTAGAAGATAATGGTACTCTCTTAAACATTGTATTGGCTAAAGCAGACTTCATCAAAAAAGAAATTGTTTGGGAAGCTTTAATGGAAGATGGGTCATACAGAGCAGATCCTGTAACCTATCATGAAATGAGAAAAAAAATGGATCTTGAAAGGTTCCAAATTGAGGTAATTGCATAAGAATTGTAAAATAAAATATATGAGTACTATATTTAATTAAGAGAAGTACTACTTATCTTGTCAAAAAAAAAAAAACTTAAATCAACTAAATTAATTCACTCTAATTTTTTTCATATTTAATTCATTTTGTATAAACTTTCAAATGTTTATGCTATAAATAAACTATAATATTTAAATATAGTTTCTATCTATTTTGATTATTATGTCACATATTAAATGTTTATTGTTATTTCATGAAAGAAAATCTAAACTTCACATTATTTTTTTCAGATTCTATAATTCATAAATTTCAATATTCTTTTAAGTTATTGAAATAATAGGTAATTGGTATTCAGAATTTACTACAGTTTATCAAATTTAATATGTCTATATATTGTATCTATCTCTTACTAATTATACTTACTACTAATTTGAATGTTTTTTTTAAATAAGCTATACTTCTATAAATTCTATTAACATCTGAAATTTAACATTGTTATAATTACATAATATTAATTTCAAACTTGAACTAATAGTATATTACTTTAATATATTATTATAATATCTAAATAATGAGTATTTTTTACTTAAACTAGGTAACTAGATATTAACCTTATTAAAAACAAATAATTTGAAAAAAAATAAAATGTATAATAGTTCATACTATTTTAATACGTATAATATTTACATGTAAGACTAAATTGAATTCCTCAACAAAAAATACTTTTTTTTATTAACATTTTATTAACCCTTTCTTAAATGTTAATTGTTGCTGAATTAAATACAACTATTTATACTTGAAAGACAAGAAAATTAGGAAAGTTCTGTGTTAAATCATTTAAATGTAAAAAACATCCACATAAAAATTTATGATATCAATATCATAATTTAAAATAATTAAATCATGTTTTAGTATCCTGGAATGGACTTCAGCAAAGCACAGCTTCAGAAAAATTATGACACTGTACCCGGCCTCAATACTCAATAATTTTTGGTTAATTACATTATTATGTACTATTAATCTTATACTTATGTATGTAGACTATATTTTTAGTAAGCTAAGGTTTAAATATTACTTTAAATTGTATTTTTCATTTGTTAGGATCAATGTAAAATTACTGTTCCTCCTTTATCAATTTGTTTTATTATATACCTTGTTCCTTCGATGTATACAATGTTTTTTAAATCTAATTCTTAAATTGTTATTATGTTATATCATGTTGAACAATTTTTAGTATTTCAATCATTTTGCTATAACCTATGGAGTATTAATCATTTCTACCAATATTATGACATAGTAAATTGCACATGGTCAGTGGTCAAAAAAGGCATTAAATATTTGTACCTATTCAATTTACATATTTATTTGTACAAATTTTAAAAATCTGTACATGAATAAAATAACATCCAAAACATAAACATATATATGTTACGGGCTATTAATCTGCACAATATCCAACTTAAGTGGTTAAAGTGAAAATAAAACACATTGCTCGAGCATTATGTACAATGAACGAATGCGTGAAGGGTATATAATGTATAAAAATATATCTATTGTCAGTTGTATATTTTGGGTGATTTTTCGGGGGATGTCCAACATTTAATGAACTTCACAAATGAAAATTTTAGAAATATTTACTGATATAAAAAAAAATCAAACTAAATGTTTTTAAATTACTAATTTAAGATATATATTCGGGGCCCGTTGTTTCTGCCTTTTATACAAAATTATTTAATAATCTCATTCGCCATAGCATAAGATGCAAATTTGAATATTTTTATTGTGCTAAAATATTTACAAGTAATATATATATCTAGGTCAAACAAGTGTAAGTAAAGGGGGCCTGGAACCGATAAACCCCGGGTCCTCAAAAGTTCTCACTGGTTCTGACTATACCTAATAAAACAATTAATAGTGGTATATTCACAAATTCAGGTATCTCGTATACATTATGTCTGTATTTTAATAATAATACAATATGTGTATAAGCTATCAGTCTATAGACTTATAAATCTTGCATGGCATATTTATGTATACATAAATAAACGGCCATGCAAAATTTTGTACTATAGATTTATATGATAAATTTTATTAAAATATGCTCTTATTACTACCAAAAAAATTTTATAATATTTATAGTTCTTAATTTATTTGTTAAAGTTGAGTTTAATCTACTAATCGAATCCTATATCTAAATATTTGTGTTTCAAATTGCTTCAAGAAATAAAACTTTGTTTCTTAGAAGTCATCTAATGTATAATCTGATTCAATAATGATATTCACTATATTTTTTGTGAAAGTTAAATTATAAAATGTATTAATAGGTAGGTATCTAAATAATATTTAATTATAAATGTAATAAACAAAAAATTTTCTTGTACCCTAATTTGAAATTAATAAATAATTATAATATTCGCGAGAAGACCAATATTGATAATTGTAATTTGTTTTATTAGTGTCAAATCCTTGGATATAAATATAATTTCCTTGTATATGCACCTTATGGTTCTACAAGTAAATGTTATAACCAAACTCAATTTATGCGCTATACAATAAATGAAAACTACTTCAGGGTGTAAGTCTCTTGTTCTAGTTTGAACACTAAAAAAATTATATGATTTATAATTTGTAAGTAGTAATTATTTTTAATTTATATAAATAAATACTCAACTAAAAAACATACTAATACATTTAAAGCAAAAAATAGCAATACAAGATCTACTATTTTCTAGCCATTTAAATTCAGTATAGTATTTAGCATTAAAACTTCTATTCTGATTTCAAAATGTTGTTAATGGAAATATCTAGAAAAAATAAATTCTTCAATATTTTCTTTGTAAAACAAAATAATGTAACACTAGTTAATACATTATGTTATTAATCAAGGATCGAGTTATTTCTTGTTTTATTCTAATTATAAATTATTTATTATTTAAATATTTTTTATTTACTTGAAATTTAGGTTACTTTTGACCCAAATTTAATGTGACCCTTTTCATCAGACTGTATATTAAAATTTAAAACATTCTTTTTCAGTTCAATTTTTTCATCATTGCTGTTATGTTTACAACCTTCATGGTTACATATTTTATTTGCTTTTGCAAATGATTCTTGACAGACATATCAAAGTTATTTATTCGTGTTTATATTCTCTGTTTCATTTTTGTTTTTAATATTCAAAATTGAAGAACATTCTTAAAATTAGTCTAACTACTTATCATGTTTTTGTTGATTTAAGTAATTTCACAAAAAGAATACTGCGTCCAGGAGCGGATCCAGAAATTTATTAAGGTGGGGGGGGGGGGTAATTAAAATTTATTAAACAGATACTATTCATACTTAATAACATACTTCTTAATATTATTAATTTTAATTTATTTTTTAAAACTGGTATCAATAACAACAATTATATAATTAAAAAAACAACACACATTTTATAGATATGGTACACCAAAAATAAAAAAAATTCAAAATAATTAAAATACACATTTAAAATTAAAAATTGAATAAGGTTACATACATTTACATTTTACATTGTACACAATAGTATATATCAATAAAATAATAATAAAAATAAAATATTAATGACTTCATCAGACACAATTACAACATCATTATGTACATTCAGCAGAGCTAATCCAACTAATCTCTCTTCACTCGTTCTATTTCTCAACCAGACTTTTAACCTTTTCAAGGTAAAACAACTTCTCTCTGCCGATGACACTGTCACAGGTAATTTTCTAGGATAATAAACTCAAGGAGGGAAGGGTATCTACCCTATTACCCCCCCTTTGATCCACCACTGACTGCGTCACTACAGGTAGGTACATATAAGTACCGACAATACTGTACATAATATGTATTCATGTTATAGAGTATAATATTAAAACAAATGAAAGATAGTATTTAGATGATGTAATTTATCCTTTATTATTAAAGTACATGATTTATAATAAAACCATGAAAACTAAAGATCTATCTATAGATGTATCTAGTTTTCGTGAATAAAACAATTAGCTTATTGAAAATAAATTATGTCGATATTAGAAATACGCCCAACATTTGAATTAGACCGACATGGACACGATATTAATAAAGAGACACGCTGTGGCATCCTGGGTAAATTAATACGCAGCAGGATCGCGAAAAGAATAAAAAAGAAAATTACTCCTGCTGTTATATTTTATTTCATAGTTCTGGTTAATACAAATTTGAGAATGCACAAAATCGATCGCACTCCAAAAGAGCAAAACTACCTATATTGTATTATTTACGTCAGCCCCAATCTTAACTTATATTATGGAATCTGATTCAATACATTAATATCTTATAAAGTTAATATTATAATTAAGTAAATTAATTAATTATACACAGAATGGAGCAGAAGGACTGTCAACAAATAATGTTTTAAATAGGCAATACATTACCTATGTATTATATATAATATTGAATACATAGTTTAATTCACATGTATAAATTAGAAATTAAATTTTGTGCATTCTCAAATTTGTATTACTCGGAACTAAGAAATAAAATATAACAGCAGGAGTAAATTTTAGTTGTTGGCCACAAAAGCCAACAACTAGTTAGCTGTAAAATCAATAAACAATAAAACTTACATGACATATTTTTATGTACATATTCTCGCAATTTAAAGTATATCACGTATATATTTTTTTGTGTACTCTTGGGATTATAGAAGTTTATAATTTTGAATTGCATGTGCAATTGCTGTTATAATAAATAATAACACATTACAAGCAGTTCCTGGTTGAACGAAAAACCATTCTAACAATATCAAGATACCATATTTTGAGAAGGTAATTGTTTAAAATTTAAATATATGAAACATGCAATAAACAATTTTTGTAAGAACCTTGTTTGGGGGTATTCTAAGTGCCCAATATGGGACCCAGTTTGTACACAAAATAATAACTTCAAACGGCTTGTTAAAAAAAAAAAAGCTTTTTATAGCATAATAGTATAAATATATTATACACGGGTAATAGGAAACAAATTATTTTCAAAAAATATAACTAGAAATTTTAATCACTTATGTGTTCGACGAAGACATTTTTAATTAAATGTTAACCTTACACGATTTTTATTTTCTCTTTGTTCTCTTATTTTTCCAGTGATTTTTAAAATAAAAAAAGTGTGGTAATTTATATGGCTAAACACTTTTGAAACTAATATAAATAAATTAAAATAATACATTTTATATTCAAAATGGTAATAACGTGATAGAAATTGTTGAATTGCGTTCCAAGATATCATAACAGCAAAGATTTATGCTATCGTAACAGATATAAACTTTAAAAAGCATAATTTTTTCAATCAACTTATTGGTTTAAGTTATATTTTCAGTTATCATAGTACAAGAAAGTAATACTTAGGATGAAAATATTCTAATTATACAATTTATGTAAAAAAATATAAAACACCGCTATGCTGGAAATAATTTATTCCAGACAAACACAAAACTATAATATATGTAATAAATACATTTAATTTATTTATTATTGTTTTTACATATTAAATCTGTTTTTGTGTAGTTCTAAAAGCGTATCTCAATTCCACTAGAACAGCCCCCCCCTTAAGTACGGTAATAGATTTTTTGCGTGAATTGTTAATGATATACTTTTCCAGAATTCCTTACTCTCATCGTTGCAATAACATGTTTATTGAATATAAATATTAATTTAACCACAGAGATCCGTACCTGGCCACAATAAAAATAATAAAAATTAATAACATCACATTGTTATTGTTAAATTAATTTGATTAATAATTCACTTTTATTTCAGGTATACTGAATATTCAACTTTCTATTTTTTCTTACGTTAATTTAAACAATTTAAGAATGAATAATTATACAGTAAGTATAACAATATGTTTTATTTGGGGTGCCATTTATAAAGAATAAAATATACACCCCATCCCCTTGAAAATTTGAATTATAATTGGTCTAGGTGTATATGGATAATTTAATATTTGATTTTAGTCATAAGACTTAGAAGTTTAATATGTTTGCTATTGAAATTATATGTAAAGCATTTTTATAACTTGAATATTTTTGATAAATTATTAGAGTATATTATGAAATTAAAATTTGAAAAATGCTAAGATTTATATTTTTACATGTGTATATATATGTGTGTGTGTGTGT